AATGGTGACAGTGGTTTCCACATTTTCAGGAAATATCATTGAAACTGGATGAATAAGGCAACAACCAGATACGGCAGGTCAAGGAAAATGAAATGTATGTTTTTATTTTGCAAGCTCACATTTCATACAGGAAGAAGTGAAAGCACAAGCTTATACCGAGAAAATTTCACAGCTGCTGTTAACAGCTGTGTTTGCAGCTGGTGCTCTACAGTGACAAGTTTGAGCAGTTTCAGGTATTGTTCGAAATCCTATGTTTAACTAAAACAGATTTGGCTTTGAGCAGGACACGCTGACTAAGAGTAATGAGGTGTTTGCGTCCTTTAAATCCAGCATTACCGTTCTCCTTCCCTAGAGCCAAAGGTATGTGGGATTTCGACCTCTGGTAGATGGTACAACGCTTTCGTTTTCGTTATGTAGATGGTACAGGATCCTGGGATGTGAGAAGATCCACCTGGGGAGAGAGGTCACGCTCCTCACAAGCACAATGCCAGCAAGAAAGAAGAAGAGATACATTGCCCCAAGGTATGGCTGAGCAAAACACTTGGTAACTGGACTGATTGTAGCTTTATTCTTTGGGTGTGGCAGCTGGCTATTTTGGAAATAAGTCTGCCCGCTTCCAGCAATTATTCTGGTGAAAGCCAACAACTTGGAGGCCCCCTCCCCTTGTGAAACCCGGTTGCTTCTGAGCAAAGGCACCACAGAGGTCTGGACAGGAACTTTTTTGCCTTGAGAATGTTTGGATTGAGTAGTAGAGCTGCATGTCTCTGTCTTTAGGAAGCTAAGCAGGACAGTGACAAAAATCCTTGAATGCCCTCACTAATGCCTCTCATTGTGTTGTGACAGAAGTCCAGAGAAAATGGCTTGGCTGGCCGGGATGGAGATTGGAAGGGGAGCTACAAAAAACTCCAGAGCAAGGCTGGGATCTTCCTGGAAGTTTGAGACGAAGAACGTGTTACAACCCCAAGTAAGCTTTGCTTTCAGCACAGTTTTAAATGAAATTGATCTCTTGTGCAAATTGCAAGATCATGGAATATGATTGCCATGATGTTTGTTCCGGTGCTAGTTAAAAAGTACGAAGAGCTCTAGCATGAGACAAGACCGTGAAGCTTAGAAAAAAGCAAAGCAAGAAAGTATGTGGTGGCTGGATATTTTGGAAGTAAGGAGTATTTCCATTGCCCATTGCATTTCATGGTAATGAAAATTTTCCTATAAAACATTTTTAACTATATAATGTGTAGAGAGTTGTGAAATTATTAAGTTTGTCATAACCTTATTATTTTAAAATTTATAATATTTATATTAAATTACAATTGAAAATTGAGTTAAACTTATGAACTAAACTTTTCAGCTCATGAACTCAAGAGTCTACACTCCCAAGAACCATGTCAAGTCAAGGGGGAAGGGTAAAAGGAGAGGGACAGTAGAGACCCACCTTTGATCCAACAATAATCTTCACTTGCACATGAATCCTTTGTCCACCACTGCACTCCTCCTCCGGCTCTGTCCGCATGACAAACGCTTCCAGCTACACAGTAGTACCGAGCTTGGCCTGGACGCACAGAGGATTAGCACCAGGAAGGAACAACGTCAAGCTCACTCACCCCCTCCAAGGACTTGACGTGATATATCATATATGTGCTTGAGCCCTGATCTCCTGGGGCCGTGGCCAAAGTGCGCAGCAAAGCCATGTGCAGTACATGGCCAACCCACAAGCTTCAGCCAAGAGCTCGTCCCCCAAACACTGATCCCTGCGAGTTGAGCTGCTGAGGCTCCACCATAAAACACGTTTGGTGTCGAGTGCTCTGGATCAAGACAGCACTAGCATCATCCTTGCTTCCTGATGCCAGCAGTTGCCGCCCCTCGTCGAGCATGCATCCCACACGTTTCTGCCAGCCATCAGCGGCCTGGGGAGCTCCAAGCGCGGCGTGATGATCGTGACGATCATCCACATCCACGCGTCTGGCTTCAAGAGCATTCACCCGCGCTGGCTTGCCAGTTATCCTGTCGCGGGCCACGAAGACGAGGCCAGCCTCCAGGGCAGTAGCTTGGTGCTGCAGAGCTTGGACGTGTACGTGGAGGGAGCTGCGGCCGGCTCGTTGAACCGTTCCACGTCCACATCGAACAGCAGCGGCTTGTGGATGACCAGGCCGTCCAAGAGTACCGTCAAGAACATGAGCGGCCTCGAGGCACCTTGTCTCCGAGGCAATGCTGTAGCATAAGCAAATTATCATCGTTAGATATGGCGATTTCACCTTGCGGCAGACGTGCTCTCCCAGGCAATCCATATCCTTGAGCAGCCTCGCCATGCTAATCTCCTGCATGTGGTCCTGGTAGTGGAGCTGGAGGAGCCTGTCCGTGGCCAAGAGGAAGTGGACGCTCACACGCCCGTCTTGCACTGATCGCTGCGGCAACGAGAGCTGGGAGGCGGCCAGCGAGTCGAGGCGAGTGAAAGAACCGTCGCCTCCTTCCCCGCCACCCCAGCAGGCCAGTTGATGAGTCCCAGGGAGTCGCAAGCTGCGGGGCTCGAAGCCAGCCACTTCCACTGCTCCACGGTCACGGGGGATACGTACAGACTGCCTGGGAACAGCGCCATCGGCATCTTCTGCTGCCGTGGCGGCGGTGGCGGCGGGGGCACCAACACTCATGTATCCTCCCCACCATCGCCGATTTAGGGCCGACCTTACACGATGGAAGGGCTTTGCTGCCATGTCTGTGGATTGTGTTTGAGATTAAGGTTTTGAGACTTGCTTGAAATTCGTCATCGCCGCTCTTTCTTGGCCCCGTTGAAACACAAACAAATCAGAAACTGTTAGTATTCATGCAGAAACCAAATGGTCTAAAAGGTGGATTTTCACTTATATTTTTAAATGCATTAATTCGTTCAAGTGTAGTTTTTTAAAAAAAATGCAAAGGTAATGACTCTTTCGAGTCTTTATTTTTGTTCTTATTTGATTGGTCTATCTCCACTCTGGTGCAAGTTTCTGGATGAACACATTGGCATCCTGCCCACAACTGCAACCTCTTGGACAATGGAGAGCGATGGCCTCCAGGAACCTAGTTGCATTTGCCTTTTCACGTGTAACTAGGTAACCCTGCTAATCTCCTTTTCACGTCTAACTAGGTGCCTCGTGTCCACAAACCAATCCTTGCTACACAGTAGTGAGCACATCGTCTCCCCTCACCCAGAGACAGCCCTGCTCTCCGGGGTAAAGCTTCACACATTGAACTTATCCCTGGAAGAAAGTAGCCCCCCATGGAAATCTGGCCGTACTCCGTCATCCCATATTGCTGTACCAGCCAACGGGTGCCAAGTGTCGCTCAATAGATCAAAAGAACTGAGGAACAAGAAGGAACATCCTGGGAACACATATTTGCAGCCTTCAGTTCCTCTGGAAGGAATAGCTGCGTGGAAGTGAAGCAGTAGCATGCACGTCGAGTTGGCCGGCGTGGCTGCAGCACCTTAACTCCTCTTAAACTTGCTTTAATTGCTAGTCGGCCACTCATAGGTGGTCAATGTTTAAAGAAACCTACATAAATCATAGTGGCAACAGACACAAGGATGGCAAAGAGATCAAACGCAAGTGCTGTCTGTTGCTGGTCGCTCAGCTTGAGATTCTTCCCGTCGAGCACTTCAATTGGGTCTAGCTTGGGCTGCCACTCGGTTTTCCATTTTGGAGGCTTGCTGCTTTCTCTGCGCTGGCTTCTATCCACTTCGTAAGGCCAGATGAATCTGCCCCCTCTCGCTTTGGATGCCTCCTGCGCCAAGTGCCAATCGTAGAGCTTCCTGTCGTCCTCGCTGCTCAACACGTTGTACGCTTCCTTGAGACGGAGAAATTTCTTTCCCGCTACCTCTAGAGGGAGTGTGGTGGAGTCAGGATGGTACTGCTTAGACAGCTTCCTATAAGCCACTTTGATTTCCTCTGTGTCAGCTTCAGGTGTGATCCCCAAGAACCTGTGGATCCACAAGCGAAACCGCAAGATCACACACAGTCAATGGTGGGCTTCGTTTTTACTCACTCGTAATGTGTTCCCGATACGTGTGCTATGAGATCCGTAATGGTGTCGTCCAGTCCAGCTTGATCGTCTTTGCCCTCTTGTGTTGCTGCTGCTGCTTCAGCTGCTGCCCTTCCTCCTCCTTGGCCCTCCTTATCCGGATCATCATCTTTGTCAAATCGGATCCATCCTTCGTCCGGAGAGCTCCATTCAATCATTCTGTTGGCTCGTTTGTTGGGAGCGTTGGGCACAGCGGAGCATTTGATGGGCGAGGAGGATCCCACCTTGAGCTGAGGACGCGGACGGCCATGGCAAGAAGAAGAAGAGCGGCTCAGCAGCATGATAAAAACTGGAATGTATGGCTGGGACAAGATAAGTACCTAGGAAGCCCTAAGTAGAGAGTCAATTTAACTCTTGTTGAAGCTCAGAGAGAGAGTGAGAGAGAGAGAGAGAGATGAGTGCCTCTTTAACGATCGCTGGTTTGGCATCACTTGCGGCCCGGCGAGATGCCCAGAGGAGACGGGTGTGTCGGCTCTACAGGAAGGCGCTCCACCATACCCTTGATTGGGTCATATTCCGGGAGCCCTTCTACAAGGAGGTGAGGAGGCGTGTTGCGATCCAAGCGCGCATTCTTCTTCTTGTGTGCTTGTGCAGGCATCTAAGCTGAGAGCCAGATTCGATGTCAACAAGGATGTGGTAGATGTGGATGCAATAGAGAGGCTCATTGTCAAGGGAGAGGCCGAGTTCAAGAAGTTCCAGCATCCAGAGCCATACGCAGGTTTGTTTTTCTCATCGCATAAGGCAATGTTTGTGTGCTCACCAACATTTCGTCCAATCTACAGTTCCTTGGTCCCCTGAAGGCGTAACGTATGCAAGAAACCCACCTCTTCCAGCCGAGGTTTGTATCTTTTATATTCAGATCTTGCAACTCTTTTTATTCGGGCTTTGATCAGGTTGTGGTTGTAAAAGATTGGGGGAGGGAAGACTGGAGCACTCACTAGAGGGCCTTTTTTGAGAATAAGTTTAGTCTTCTCTCCACCGGAACGAGCAGTTTGGATTGCCGCACCTGTAAAAGGCTGTGCTTGGCTCGTCCGCCGATCTGATCTGGACCAGCATAAAGTAAGCATGCCCATAGTTGCACTTGGCACAGGTAACTGTCCAGCCCCACGGTTGTAAGAAGCTCAGAGCTCATTCACACACACATACCTGGTGTGCGATCGCAATTCTTCCATGCGTCTTCTCCCCCCATAACGTCGTCAACCTCCTTGTTCTTGAGAGGGATCGGCTTGCTGATCTGAGAAGGAAGAGGCGTGAACGAGGAGAGAAAGCAGGAGAGCAAACCTTGAGGTCCACGCCGAAAATGTATGCACAGGTGGGGCAAAAGTATCTCAGCCTGCCAGCGTGCTCCACCAGCAGCAGGCTTGAGCATGTCGGGCAAAACTCCATCGGGGAACCCTAAACAGGATCCCTAAGAAGCTCTAGTGTGTATGGCAGCGGCGGCGGCGGTGCCCAGCTTTGGGGAGCTGGGCGTGCGCGAGGAGCTTGTAGACGCCTGCACCAAGCTCGGATGGAAGGCACCCACGCCCATCCAGGTGGAGGCGCTCCCGCTGGCTCTGCAAGGTTTGTGTGTGTCCTGTTCGTGCGCGTGTGTGTTCCAATCTCTCCACGCTTGTTGCTGACAGGCCGGGACTTGATCGGCCTCGCGCAGACTGGATCCGGGAAGACAGCGGCTTTCGCGCTGCCTATACTTCAAGCGCTGTTCCAGCAGTGCCACCCATTCTTTGCGTGCGTCCTGTCTCCCACCAGGTAAGAGAGCACAGGCGAGGAGAACTAATTACCTGGATGGATCATCAAATGCAGGGAGCTGGCCATCCAGATATCGGAGCAGTTTGAAGCGCTAGGATCACAAATCGGCGTCAGGAGCGTGGCTGTAAGAGTTGCTCTATCACCTGTTTTCGTCAGTTCCTTGTTGCGTGCTTGCGCGTGGACAGATTGTTGGAGGTGTCTCTATGGTAGATCAGGCTGTTGCGCTGGGCAAGAACCCGCATATTGTGGTATGTTCTCTGCACGCAAGCACCGAGCTTTTTTACGACATTCCTCTTTCCACCAGGTAGCCACACCTGGAAGGCTGCTGGATCACCTCACAAACACAAAAGGCTTTAGCTTGCGAAACGTCAAGTACCTGGTAAAGATGACATGACACACCTCTTCTTCCCTTAAGGTCCGTGCTTCTTTGTGATCAGGTGCTTGATGAAGCGGACAAGATCCTGCACAACGATTTCGAGAAGGAGGTCGATGAGATCCTCAAGGTTGTCCCTCGGGAGAGGAAGACGTTCCTCTTCTCTGCTACAATGACAAACAAGGTGCGCTTTGTCTCCTGCTTTTTTCTCGTTCCGTTCATGTTCAACGTACGAGCAGGTGGCAAAACTTCAACGAGCCTGTCTTCGAAATCCGACAAAGGTTTGTGTTGCCTGTTTGCGGTTGCCAGATACTTGAGACAAGTGCATTGCAGGTGGAAGTCTCCTCCAAATACACTACCGCTCTTACCCTGAAACAAGAGTATGTCTTTGTTCCTGCCAAGCACAAGGTTTGCACCCGTGTTCTTGCTGTTTGAGTTTTGTCTCTCGTCCACATTGGCCAGGACTGTTACTTTGTATTCCTGCTAAACGAGATGGCGGGGAGTACGGCAATGGTTTTCACAAGAACCTGTGACAGCACGAGGCGGCTGGCATTGATTCTCCGTAGCCTTGGATTCGGTGCTATCCCCATCAGCGGCCAGATGAGCCAGGTAAGGGGTCTTGGTTCGTCTATCCAACCAAACAGAGATGAGCTCACAGGTTTCCCCTTGTGCAGTCCAAGCGCTCGGGTGCCTTGTTGAAGTTTAAAGCTGGCGACAGAAACCTGCTCATATGTACTGACGTCGCCAGTCGTGGCCTCGACATCCCATCTGTGGATGTGGTCATCAACTACGACATACCAACAAACTCCAAGGCAAGTTTCATAAGACATTATCAGCTGCTCCTGACTCTCCCTTTCTCTCCCCTGGCTTTTGCAGGATTACATACATCGCGTAGGAAGAACGGCCCGAGCTGGGAGGTCCGGGCGTGCAATATCCATTGTCACCCAGTACGACGTGGACCTGTACAAGAGGATAGAGGACTTGATTGGTAAGTGATCATGGACCTCTTGTTCGTTCTAACACTACTTGTCAGGCATGACTCTCCCCGAGTTTCCAGCAAAGGCGGACGAGGTCTTGTTACTCGAGGAGCGCGTCAGTGAGGCGCAGAGACTAGCTGCAATGGTTTGTACTCTTCTTTATTCTATGTACTGGTTAGTTGGATTACATTTTCTTGTGTGTGTGCAGCACATCCGAGAGAAGGACGCGTCCAAGAAATCCAAGAAGCGGCGGAACGGCGACGACGATGAGGCAGACGATGGTGGCTATATGGCTGGAAAGAGGAAGCAGTCGAAGAAGCGCTAGAAGGAACACGTCCTGGTGAAGTACTGGCGCTGGGGAGGCAGGGTGGCCACAAGCCTCTTGCTGCGCAAGTCGATCTCTCGGGCCTCTTGACAGAAGGCGCAGGGGAAGCACAGGCAGTGGACGCAGCAGTCACAGAGAGGAGACTCTGGGAGGTGGAACACGGATCGCAGCTTGCGCCTGTACCAGCACGAGTATGCGCATCCGCACAGGCACGGCTGGAGGAGGAACCAGAGCAGACAGGCAGCCACGCACGAAGTCTGGCCCCCGTCGAGAATCTCCACGTTCCTTCCCAGCGCCACACAGGGGCACAAACAGCCCAAGACACAAGTGGGGATGTCTGTCAAGCAATCGCACAAACCCGACTGCCACCCCTCCTCGTCGCCGCCATCACCACCACCGCCGGACACAAACCCCGCCTCCGCGTATCGTTGATAGGCAGCCGCATAGGCCTCGTCGCCACTGGAAGCCATCGCCGATCGCCAAATAGTATCAACCCTAGCTTAAATTAAATCCCTTTGAAGACCATTTACGCGGCTGGAGCTCCGCGTCCGTGACCTGGTGCGGTTGCCGTGCGACTCCGGCAAGCTTCACTGCCCTGTTTCGAATGTGAACCGGCACGGCTCGAAGCTCGTCTGTCCATCCGGCCCTGGCATCAGCACGGGAAGGGAAGCAGTGCATCGTAAGTTTCCTTCCATTGCAGTATAATTGCCACAGTGCCCAAGAGCAAGTCATCTGCTTTCTGTTGAGGAATGCGAAACCAAACACAGCTTGGTCACAAAGACTTATTGTCACTTTCTATTGCCAGAAGCAGCACACTTGCTTAAAAATCCGCTGCACCACCTCCAGGGAACCGGTTTGGACTCGGACACCGCCTTCAGCACCTCCCCACTGAGTACAGGTAGCTGGAGGAACGAACAAAGTCAGCGGAGAGAAGATAGCTAGCCACGTCTCCTCCATTAAATGTGGCTCCGACTGCTCCTTCATCCTACTCCTCTGGAGATTTCATGCGAGTTAGACTGGCGAGAATCCTATCAATCAGCTGCTGGCCATGTGTAGCACTTCAATCTGGGATGTCTGCCTGTAAACCCGATCTTGAGAAAGGACACGTATAGTCAGCTCTCTTATGGTTCTTGACAGCAAGGGACAGCATGCCAGAGCTCTCTAGCAAAGGGAAGAGATCGATTTACCCTGGGCCAGTTTTTCATGAGCGTCCTGCTGGCTTGCAAGAAGTGCAAAGAGCCACATAGGCAGCCAATTTGCGTACATACCACTTAAACATCGTGCACAAGAACCCGACGATGGGGATGGCGTGGGAGTTTGACATCATACCCCAACACGGCATTATTGGAGTATAGATTTAAAATAGTGATTAAATCAAATTCTCATTGCGGATGGGCGATAATAATTCAAATAAACGTCTGCGAATCACCCCCTTCACTCATGCCTTCTTCTTAAGAATGTGCGCCCCAAGTCTTGGTTGCCTACTGTAGCTACATCCTTGTTCCATCCTTGTTCTCCCGTTACAAGCGGCTAAAACCTCACGCACAAAAGAGGATGGATATCTTACCGTAGGGGGTCTTTACTCTTCTGCGATTTCGAAGTTCCTTGTGTTGCCAGCTACTTGCACTGAAATCGGTAAAGCGCATTAGGACGACAAGTGTTTTAGACTAATTACCTTGTGAGTTGTACAGATCGCCATTCATCACAGACTGTGACGCTTCCCGCTGTTTCTTCTTTTTCCTTCGACTGGCTGTCGCCTCGGGGTTCACTACCTTCACTCTCTTCCAGTTGCCTCTTCTTCCCAACTGTCAGTTCTGCTTGGTCCACATCTGCTACTGGCACTTTGTCCCTCGCCACCCTGAGAAATGCATGGTTCCCAGCTGCAAATCGTTTTTGGACAAAGCGGACATGGCTTCCCCAACCTTTTGTGAAGGTTGCTGCTCTGACATCTTTAGGTCCTCCTTTAGCTTCCTCTGCCTCTCTGCTTCTTGCAATGCTTGCCTTTTCGCCTGCAAAGCTTCTTGTTGCTCCTCCAGCTTCTCCATCTAAACTTGTAACTCATGTATATTCTCGCTCCTCTGCTTGCTTCTTCACCCCCACTTTCTTGGCCATGTTCAATTATGTGCCGCAGATCAACATCACTGATCAGCTCTTCCCCTCCCTTTCGAGCCTAGACAAAATCACCTCTCTAGTATGCAGCTTCCCTTTCAAGTGCCAAGGTCTCCATTTCCCTGTCCACCCACTCACGGAGCTCTCGCTTTTCCTGCTTAGCCGTTTCGCCTCGTCATGCAGCCACTTCATTGACTGCTTTTTACTCAATTTCCTTCGTAAGCCTGTCCTTCCTTTCATTGAGACTCCGACTTCTCCTAGTTCCTAAGCTCGTCAGATTCAGTCATTAAGTCTTGTTGACATGCCCGGAAATCGTTTATACCTCTTTCAATCAGCTGAACCTTGAGAAGAACTTCCCTCTCATTCTTGATCACATCAAGTAATTCTCCTCCTGAATCACCTTGAACCCCTCGAGTTCATCTTTCTCGGACGCGAACGCCAGAGGAAGCTCCTCCTCAACTTTCTCATCCAGGGTGCAGAAAATTAGCTTTGACATGGCCCACAAAAACAGCTGTCAAATATAGAGGAACTAGTTCAGTCCGTTCCTTTTCTTATACCAGGTTGTTAGAGAATGCCCAGAAGAATGTAAAGCGGAAAATAAGCTTTATTTACGCATGCTGTCCCTCTTGCAGCAAACAATTTCAGTGATTAAGTTGGCAATCCAACATCTCTCGAACTGCACTAAACCTGCTCTACCTTTGACTTGGGCAATTTAAAATAATTCAAAATGTCCCCTCGTCTCCTTATGAAATGATCTTCCATTTTAAAATATGCTGTGCACAATTGCATAAGAGCATTAAGAAGTTTTTCATGCACAAAAATATAAAAATGAGCTATCCAAACATGTTTATATCCACTTACCCCAAGAAATAAATATGCAAATTTGAGTAAAATCAACACTCTACCGTCTTCTGAAATTTTGACTGATGACTTCTTACATCCTCCCAAATGCATGTAGATGGCAATTCCATGACAACTTGCCTCTTCTTTCGAGATGGCTCCCCCTGATGACTTTCATTCTCATCACTGTCATTTTCTTTATCTCTATATGTTGAATCCTTGAGTTTGTCATGATCGTCATCATCTTCAGCACGCAGACTCTGCTGTTTCATTTTCGTGCAGCTATGCACAGGACTATGGGGAACTTCATCCGGATCCACGTCCATGTGTTGGAGCAGTCCCTTGCCAGCCTCAGGGAGGACCTGTGGAACTTGGCAGGGGCTGGCTTCTGGACCATGGCTAGAGATGACTCCTGGAACCGGAGCCTGGCTGGAGCTGGCTTCTGAAACCGGAGCTTCCCCCCTGCAATGAACACTGGTGATTAAAAGCGAGTGAGAAAGAGAGCATACTCCAATGCAGCCTTGGCAAGCTTTTGAGTGTTCACAGAGTAGGTGTCTCTGATTCGAATCTGAACCCGGCTCGCATTCTGTCATCACGAAGCTCATACATCTCATCTGGCCCTGGCATCAGCACAGGAAGCAGTGCATCCTACGCTTCCTGGTTCCGTTGCGGTATGATCGCCACACTGACCAGAAAGCATAAGAGCAAGTCTTCCTTGGTGATCTGCTTTCTGTTGAGGATGATGAAGCGGTTGAAGCAGACAAGCCCTTTTACTTCCAGCGGTTTCCCACACAGCTTGGTCACAAAGCCCCGGAGCTTGACAGTGTACTCAGAACATTCCGCAATTTTCCAGGTGATGTATTTTCTTTCCTCCAACAGTGCTTGTTTCTAACATTCAACCATGCGTATTTCAGTGCATTCAGGGGCTTCCAGAGGGCGAAATGCATAGGATTTCTCTCATCGTTATACTTTACCAATCCAAACTGAACTTCTCTTTAAAAATCAGGGCTGGCCAGTGAAAAGGCTCAAGGACGTCAAACCATCAGATGCACTGAAACATCCAAACTTAAGTATAGGAAAGAAAATTACAGTGGATTCGGCAACCTTGATGAACAAGGTATAAAAAACTTTTTTATAAGCTGATATTTTGTCTGCTGAACTAACATCTTCTGCTGGCAGGGACTCGAGGTCATTGAAGCTCACTATTTGTTTGGAGCTGACTATGATGACATTGACATTGTTATCCATCCCCAATCGATTATACCCTCCATAATCAAGCCATAGGTAATATTAGTTGAATGCTGCGTCAACACACAACTAACACAACTAGTCAAATACAGGATTCCTCCATTCTGGTGCAATTGGGGTGGCCTGACATGCGACTACCTATTCTTTACACACTCTCTTGGCCGGATAGGATTCCATGCTCAGAAATCACCTGGCCAAGGCTTGATTTTGTCAAGTAAGCTTCACATTTTATCACCTTGTCCTTTGGAAACATTTATTCACACCGGAGCTTTGAAACAGGACTGGATCGCTAACGTTCAAAGCCCCCGACTGAGCAAAGGATCCATCCATGGACATATCCTATGCAGCTGGAAGAATGGGAGGAACCATGACAGGAGTCATGAGCGCGGCCAACGAGAAAGCAGTGGAGCTCTTCCTAGACGAGAAGTAAGCAAAATAGTTGGTTTCCAAGGATTCTTTTCTCATGATTGGTTATTTCGACATCATCAGATTGATCGAGAAGACTTGCGAAACGCACAAGTGAGATTTTGTCAAGGAGCCAAGCCTGGATGTTATCCTCGCATCCGACCAATGGGCCCGGATTTACGCTGCGGAAGTCGCGGCACGGGCCTCTCTGGTATGAGAATATATATACACCTCTGTTCTTTGAACTAAAAGCTCTTGTTGCTTGCGGTTCTCGATCGACTTAATTCGTAAAACGTTTCTTCCAGCTTCGTAGTCAGGGACAGGGTCCAAGAATGTACGCTGGAGGTCTCAAAGTCAGTGGATCTTTCTTGTTATCACGCGAGGAAGAATGGTGGTTGCTGGCAACCGAGTCGTAACCATGAGCACCAGCAGCAGCAGGATGATCGCAATGAGCGTGCACTTCCGGGAGCTCCTCTGGTGCTGCTTGGCATAGTGGCTGCGAGTTCCCTGTCCACGTAGTTGGCCGCCATGCAATCATATCTCAAGGAGCTTCCACCAGCACAGCCATGTCGAGAAAAATCTGGTGGAGTTCCAGCAAGTTTTTCTTGATCTCCTTTCCCTCTCCCGGATCTCCTCATACTGGATCGCCCTCTGGACGAACACCGGTCTCGACTCTTGATGGTCTTGTGCTGCACCGTCCAATAGACAAGATCTGACAGACAAACTTGAACATGTCACTCGCCTCTCAAACTTGATCATCCAAAATGTAAATGTAAATGTGGCAAACTCATGTATGCCCGAAGTTCATCCAACTTTCACGAGTTGGATTTCAATCTAAACAACAAGCATTATCATGCTATTGCATCAAAAGTCATGCAGAAGAAATGGGCGGTAGCTGCAGAAGTACACGATCTTGAGCCCACACTACATTGAAGGTGGTAGCCTCCAAATCACCAAGCTCTGGAGCGCGGTTGCACACAACAACATTTGGAATACCAAATCCAGAATCAGCATGCATGGTGTGGTAATGCCACTGCCTCTCCTCCAAGTCGTAGACCACAATGAAGCGACCAGAGTCTACATCCGGATAGCTTATATTCCCCTGAGATATGCAAGCGTAGCGACCACCTGCCGTAAACCAAAACAAGTTACCACCTAATCTGTCAACCCCATCCTGGTATATGGGATGTGTAGCAACTTTTTGCCACCCTTCTTCACCACCCTGCCAGCTGAAGACCTGAAACTCTTCAAAAGGTATGCAAGACATCATGTAGAAGCTGCCCTCGTGCCAGTGGAAACCCTTAGGACGAACATTATCTGGCGCCGCCGGCAAGCCCTTGTATGATCGATTCTTGGGGTTGTAGTGGACGGATGGAATGTACGTATTTCCAATCTCCCTCACCTCTTGAGCATCCATTAACTCAAGCTCGACGTCTTCTTTCCCTTCAACATCTAACAGAGGCTGCCAGCTCCCGGTGGAGGAGACGTAGAGAAAGCAACCGTGGATTGCCATGTACGCAACGTAGAGCTGATCATGATATCTGTCGAGCAGCAAAGAGAATGGACCCATTTCGTGGCAGGAAGGGGCCAAGCGTAGGCCATGGCTTCCAATTAACTGCTCCGGGATCATGAGACGTTCTCCATCACACGGGCTCCATGCTAATGTGCAATCGTCTGTGCCATTGCCTCTGTGAACGAGGACCCAGGTTTTTGAATCATCCATCTCCTCTATCCTATTTGCTACTTTAACCGCTGAACCTTTAGCCGATGGAAACAGCTCCAGCCCTGGATCAGAGACAATCTCCCACTCACCATCATCACCCGGTAACCATGCTCAAGACCTCAACCTAATTATCTAGGGTTCATCTGGATCTATGGCTTACACTCTCATGCGCGAGGAGCTCTTGGACTTTGTGCTATCCGAGAAGCTGCTTGGTATTGATTGGCATAGTTCATTTTTCGTCTCTCACTGCTTACAGCTACTACAGTACAGGCTTTCAATTTTGACGATTGATACAAGGAGTGGTATATAGACCACGGATCCCAGGAGAACAATGTTCACGTGCTCGAAACAATGGCTTTTCCTGCCGAATTTTTTCCAAATGGCATCCAGCCATACAAAGGTATGGGAGTTAGAATACACCATACCTTGACTGGTGTGATTTACCACAAGGACGGCTACTTTTGCTCTACCCACCATAGATGCTTGGCGGATGAGAAAATGATGAAGACTCACAAAGCTAAGGAGATTCCAGGATACCATGTATGTTACACTGCTACTTTGAGAGGTATGTTTTCTGTGTTTTATTGCTTTCTATTTATTCAGCATTGAATTTTAAGAGACATTATCCCACTTGAAATGGTGCTGATCTTTGGTGGACTTGGAAGTATTCCAAAATCACATGGCCACGGTATTCTATCATCACAAGCTGGGTTCCACAAGTTGGGTTTCATGAGTGGCCTTTTGTATCATTTTGTGATCACGAAGTATTTGATTTATAGATGATATTTTTTTTACAACATTTATTTTTCTATTTTCTCAGTATCAAAGACATAGAATGGATCATGGAGGGCACGGACTGGACTTTCAAGATCACCTGCATCAATTGTAAAAAGTAGATCCTACAGTGGTGAAAGGAGTTGTGACTGTACACAAAGAAGGTTGAGTTAAAAACTCAGGGAGAGCGCCTCGAATGTCTAACCGTAATCCATCCCTGCCAAGAACAAAAAGAATAAAGCAAAAACCCGTCTACCTATAGCATATGTTGGTGTTTCCTTCAAAACGTTCGCCAGCATCACGTAAGGCAAGTGCTTCCCCAGACTTTTGGAGTGAGTCGTCTCTAAACATTCTCCACTCCCTCGACTCCGGAGCTAATGCCATCCGAGTGTGTGATGCAAGCTCCAACGAAGGATGTCCAGCCGATAGCTCCAGGCCTGAGAGGCATCGAATTCAGCAACTCATGAGCCTCCGTTAACTTCCCAACTCTTCCCAGGATGTCAGCCAGTAGTGCTAACTTTAGGGCTCTTGGTTTGTATGCATTGCCGCTGCGATATTCCGAGCGATTGACCGCGCGTCTAGTGATTTCTGGGAGCTGCCGATGGCTTTGGAGGCTGTCTTTAGCAAATGCTTTTCTGGAGCTGGGATTTCTCATGGATGTGGAAATTTCTTTCTAGGGGGATTTGCAGCAGCTGAGCTCGAGCTCCAGGTCGTGTTTCACGGGAAGGAAATTGGCAGTAACAGGTGCGTGAGACACGTTTTCGACAGCGACAGTGCTCATTCGTGCATGTTTGCGGGCGCTCAATGTGGTACCTCCTCCAGTACGCAGGAGTACCCAAGAAATGCTGGTTCCTCTAAGATACGCTGCTCGTCAAATGATCCTCCCTCAGCTTGGCCAGAGCAATGGTGGATGGAGCTAGGAAAAAATCCTGGGATGGACCAAAGCCCATTTCACTTCTTGGATCCACGGGCTCCATCGGCACACAGGTTAGAATCCCTGTTTTCCTTCGTTTCCTATGCAAGCGATGAGGATGCTAACGTGGTGTTGTGCCACACACTTGACATCATCTCGGAAAACCCTGACAGATTCGAAGTTGTTGGCCTGGCTTCTGGCTCAAACGTTACACTTGTTGCTGATCAGGTAAACTACGAATTGGTCAGCCGTCGTATCTGTTTATACGAGCTTACACTGCCAATCAACAGGTCAGGAGATTCAAACCAAGCATGGTTGGGATTCGAGACCGAATTAAAAGAAGCCATTGCTGATCTTGACGAAAATCCAGAGATTGTCGTTGGGGACGAAGGAATTGTACAGGTACTTCAATTTGCTCAGTTGTTTTTTCTCATATTTTTTTTCTCTTGTGTTTGCTTTTTTTTGCTCTTCAGATAGCGTGTCATCCAGAGGCAGTAGAAGTTGTGGCATATTGGCGGAGGCAGCCGCGCGCATACCGGACAACAAAGATCAGTTGAATGCGGTGCTGGAGGTGGCGCAGCGAGTTTTCAAGCAAGCGTACGTTGTGGAGGGGCCTCGAGGGGAAATAGTTACATGCCTGTTGCAAGCACGTCGTTGAAGACTAAGTTTACTCAGCCGGCAGTCCATATGTTCTACCTCTTGCAAAGAAACACGGAATCAACATCCTACCTGCGGGAGATTTTCCTTGTTGGCTAGAGCAATATCCTTTCCAGCTGCTATTGCTGCTACTGTAGGCTGCAAAGAATATTATTGTACATGTCTAAGTGCTTGAAGAACAAACTTTCGTGTACGCTTACCTTGAGGCTAGCACAACCAACCATTCCTAGGCTTGAACGTGTCCGCGGTGAAGACCCAGTCACGGTTGGTCGGATCCTTTCTTCAGCTGCAAGGACATTAGCTTCTTTGCCTGCTCGAAGTCCCACCACAAGCTCCCCACCACCCAGATCGGCTCAAAGAACCTGGTCGAAGAGGAGCTGCGCTCTTGCATTTGCGGAGGGATGACGAGGCCGAGCTTTCCGGCAGTATCTGCTACCAGTCCGAACACCTTTAAGTTGCGCGGAATGCACGAAAAAAACCTCCTGCAGGTCAGGAATGAACCGGCTACCTGTCCAAACCATGAAGACACCTTGTCCATGCAGACAATGATCTTCTTATCCGGTACGAAAGTCTTGTTGGCCGTCTTCCGGATCCAGTGAGTTAGCTTCACACCATCCCAGTCCTGTCCTGGACCCGGCTTGGACACACGCACCTCCTCCAGCACCTCCCCACGGAGTTTAAGGTAGCTGGAGGAAAGAGCACCAGCAGCACAAAGTCAGCAAGCAAAAAGAGAAGATAGGAGAAGATAGTCGCGTACCTTTTAGCCACGGGTTCGCCAAAGTGTGGCTCCGACTGCTCCTTCATCCACTCCTCCGGAGATTTCTCTTTGATCTGAGTTAAAATGGCGAGAACCCATGCTGCCACGGCGTGTGGATCGTTGCTCATTTTGCTACTAATCAGCTGCTGCGCCACAGCACTTCGATCCGGGATGCCTGTAGACCCGATCTTGAGAAAGGAGACGTACACTACGTAGAAGCCCTTGGTGGCCAGCTCTCGCATGGTTCTTGACTTTCCCCACCCAGAGCTCTGCAGCACCATCGTCCATGCTGCAAGCTGCCCCATATCGTTGTGCCACTCGTCAAACAAGCCATTGATAACCTCTGCAACGTAGTCCAACACTTTGCAAGGATCCTGGTAAGGGCGATCCCAGGCCACCTGTAGCGCCTCCTTGACACTCAGTGGGTAGTCAACTTTTGGACGTACTGTGGTTGGAGATGCATACTCAAGCACGGCCAAGACGAGTCCCCGGCGTTTTGAATCGCTGTGAGCAGCCCTTCCATCCATTCCTGATTTCAACAGTAGAGGATCGTCCCAAGGGACGACGGTGGTGAGCCATGTGAAGAGGTTATCCGAGATATTGGCAGTGATGGATCAAACGGGGGCATACCCCGGGCCAGTTTCTCAAGAGCGTCGCGCTGGCTTGCAGGAAGTGCTGGGTGAGAGAGGCATGAGACACAAGATAGGCAGCGTCATATTGCGTACATACCACAAACATACACGTCGCGTGAGGGCGCAAGAGTGCGTCGCCATGCTCCTTGTTCAGCTCCTCCGCCGAGACAGTGTTAGGAACCGCAAGATTCGCACCGTCAAACTCCCATCGCACTCCGCCATCCCTAGTTCTACCAGGGTTTCCTACAAAACCTGATGTTGGAGACTGACTAAATCAAATTCCATTCTATAAGGATATACATACAACCCAAACTACGTCGTCATAAACGTCCATAGTTTCTTTCTCAAGGGCTGAGAATCACCACTGTCGCCATCGCCTTCACTCATGCCTTCTTCGTCATCATCCACTTCTTCATCCATCTCCATTTCCTCCTCCTCCTCCTCCTCCTCCTCTTCTTCTGCCTCCTCATTGTCCTCGTCGTCTCCTCCTTGTGCTACTTCCTCCAGGCCCCCGTTCTCCACCTCTTCTGTCACCACCTCCACAGCCACGAACTCCTCGATGAGGCTAACAGTTTGTGCGCCCTCGCCCTCCCCTCCTTCCAAACCTCGCAAGTCTTGGTTGCCTACTGTAGTTGCATTGACTTCCTGGTCCGCGTCTCCTGTGGTCGGTCCATCCTCGCTCACACCGTTACAAGCGCCACCGTCGTGGCTCTGCAAAACAAAACCAACCAAACCAAAAAGTCACCTCATCACGCACGCACAGAAGAGGATGGGTATCTTACAGTAGCCGGGTCTTCACTCTTTTGCGATTTCTTGGTCGCCGAAGCTCCATGCGTTCCTCCTTGTGTCGCCAGCATACTTGCACTGAAATCGGTAAAGCGCATTAGGACGTGATACAAGTGTTTCTAGACTTACATTGTGGAGTCCCTGAAGTTGTACCGAGGGGTAGAGTCGCCATTCATCGCAGACTGTGACGCCTCCCGCTGTTTCCTCTTTTTCCTTCCACTGGCTGTCGCCTCCGGGTTCACTGCAGCACCCTCGCTCTCTTCCAGCCGCCTCTTCTTCCCAACTGTCAGTTCTGCTTGGTCCACGTCTGCTACTGGCACCTTGTCCTCCTCGCCACCCTGAGAAATGCTTTTCGGAAATATTCTGGACGCACAAGTTCGCAGCCATGACAATCGGCTCGGAGTGATGGTTCGACTTGGAGTAGAGCTTGGAAGGGGCTGCAACTCGTTCTCGGACGAAATCCTCCTGGCGGACATAACTTCCCCATCGTTGGCGTTCTTCTGTGAAGGTTGTTGCTCTGACATCCTTAAGCTGTCCTCGAGTTCCTTCAGGTCCTCCTTTAGCTTCCTCTGCCTCTCTGCTTCTTGCAGTACTTCTTGCCTTTCCGCCCGCAAAGCTTCTCGTTGCTCCTTCAGCTTCTCCCTCTGGACTTGTAACTCGTGTATATCCTTCTTTATTTCTTCCCATTCAGCTTCAGCAAGCTCGCGCTGTCCAATTATCGCCAACCGCTCCTTCTCAAGACTCCGCTTCTCGGACTCCACGCCATCCAAATCCTTTCTAGCTTTTTCACTTATCTGTGCCACCTCTTGGCGCTCCTTCTGAACTTGTGACAGTAAGCGAGCTTCCCGCTCCTCTGCTTGCTTCTCCATCTCCTCCACTTTCTTGGCCATGTTCCGTTCAAGCTCAGCATGCCGCAGATCAACATCACGGATCAGCTCTTCCCTCTCCCTTTCGAGCCTAGACAAAATCTCAGCTTTCTCCAGCTCTGCAGTTCGCGCCAGAGCTTCCCTTTCAAGTGCCAAGGTCTCCATTTCCCTGTCCACCTGCTCGCGGAGCTCTCGCCTTTCCTGCTTTAGCCGTTCCTCCTCGTCATGCAGCCACTTCATTGACTGGTTTTTACTCGCCTCGAAGTGATCGATTTCGTTCGTAAGCCTGTCCTTCCTTTCATCGAGTAACTCCCACTGAGCCTCGAACTTCTCCTTGTCTTTCTTAAGCTCGTCGGATTCTGTCGTTAAGTCTTGTTTACGTACCCGAAAATCGTCTATCTCCTCTTTCAACCGCAGCTGAACCTTGAGAAGATCTTCCCTCTCCTTCTCGATCACATTAAGCTTCTCCTTCTCCTCCTGAATCTGCATCTTGACCCCCTCGAGTTCATCTTTCTCGGAAGCTAACGCCAGACGAAGCGCGGAAATCTCCTTCTCAAAGTCGGCCTTCTTTGTCCTTAAAGCCTGCTCGTTCTCATCCAGGGTCCTCGAGATATCCTCCTACCATGCAGAAACAAATAAGCGCGTGAGGCACATAGAATACAATGTTTACCAGGCTTTGCTTTGACACAGCCAAAAGATTCTCCCGAGTACTCAAACTGGCTTCTAGATCAACAAGACGTTCCTTTTCCTTCGCGTTTGCTTGTTCAAGTTCTCGTACCATCTGCTCGTGTTGTTCAAATGCCTGGAAGAATGATAACAGGAATAGATACTTTAGCAGGCAGAACACAGTTCTTTTGCTCACCCTGTCCCTGCTGGCAAGCTTCTCTTGTAGCAGCAAGATTTCCTGTTCCTTCTTTGTTGCAGCATTCTCCCTTTCCACAGCAGCCTGTGTAAAAGTATAAGACAAACATAAAAACAGAAACGTGTCGTATCGCATTCACTAACCTCCTCTCTCAGTGAAAGCGCAGACAGCAAAGCACTATACTCTGCCTGTTCTTGCCGTAGTGCAGAACGGTCCTTTTCTAGAACCTTTCTTGCTTCATCCAGGTCCCTCTCAAGTTTCGTAAGTGCATCATCCCTCTGTTGCATGTACTCCTCTCTCTTGTTCAGAAGCTTCTCGTTCTCCACAAATCTAGCCTGACTCTCTTCGAGGGTGCGTTCCCAGCCCTTGAGGTTCTGCTTTTCATGTTCAAGCTCCAGCTTATGCGCCCCGCACCTTTAACAAAGACTCTCAACTGTCAGAAGCGGGTTCCAGAAGATAAAAGGGCTTACTCTGCCAGAAAACTGTGCCGCTGCCTTCTCAAGGCGTCTTCACGAGACTCGACTTCCTGCAGCTTTCTTTCCGCGTCAGCGTGCTTCCTGTTTGCTTTCGCAAGCAACGCCTCCGCGGAATGTAGCTTAGACTCCGCCTCGAGCAGCTTTTCTTCAGCGCTCATTGCCGTTGCCTTGCCTTGTTGAAACTGCGTAGCAGCGGCTGCCTTGGCTTCAGCGACTTCCTCGTGCATTTCTTTGAGGGCCTTCTCGAGCTGGACACAAACGGCAAAGGTTGTGACAAGTGAAGAGAGAGCAATGGCGCTGTAGCTTACGTCGGCCACGCATTTCTTCTCGGTGGTGACAGCACGCTTCAGAGAATCCTCGCGCCTCTCCGCCTCTTGCAGCGCAATCATGTGAGCGGATTGTTCCCGCTTGAGCCCATCTCTCGTCTCGTCAATCACGCTCTTGAGACGCTCCGACTCGCCGCGCAGCTTGTTGGATTCCAGGAGCAGCAGCCCCATCTGGTACTGGTAGTCGTACAGCTGGAGATCCAGGCCGAGCGTCGCGTGAGACCAAGACTACCCGGAAAGAAACAAGACCCACCTCAGTTTCGAGCTTGGAGATATGAGCGAGGAGAGCATTGCGATCCTTGAGCTCCAGCGATTCTTGGTCCAGCGCACCCGCTTCCCGGAATGTCTGCCAGATCTCGCTGCTGGACTTGCCCGCGCCATCTCCTGCGCCATTCCCAGCTAGGGTTCCGTCCGCGGACTGGTGCTGCTGCCGCCCATCTGGTGGGGAGGAGGAAGCAAACCTGACCTCTCGCCTTTCCGTGGACACAGAGAAGCCAGCTCCCCGGTTGGGCGTCGCGCCGCGCCTGTGCGGGGTAAACATCGCGCTCTCTTTCTCTTCTCGCAACCAAAAGCCCTAAACCCGTCTATCGGGACATTTCGCTAGAGAGCGGAATATTCCCCCGACGCTTAAACCCTGGCTAACCCTCATAGGTCTCGCGATTGGCAATGTGTGGAGGGAGGGGCTCTCTCTCCTCGTCTTCGTCTTCCTGGCTAGGAGAAGAATAGGGCTTCGATGAAAGGCGTCCGAGGCAAGGGCATCTCCTCATTCTTCCGTGTCTCTTCCTCCCCGCTCTGCCACACTCCCACTCTCGCCCCCCATCTCTGGAGGCATTGCGTGCCATTCGGCGCCAGATTTCCAGCGCTATCCCTGCCATCGGTGCCGCGGCGTGAGCTATGGCAAGTGATTGCGAGTGACGAGGTATATAAGCTGTGCATGCCTTGGCATTTAGGTTAACCTAGTCTGTGTTTGTATGAAGAGGAAGATGCCTTCACAGCGCGGGCGAAAAGCCAAGACCGCCGCCAGCGACGGTGCTACTGTCTGGGTGCCAAAGGCAACAATCTCCACATCTGCGCAGCAACAGCGTCCCTCCTCGCAGGCCGCCGTGGCCGAGCCCATGACCGAGACGGCCTATCCCGCCAAAAAGGGCCAGACCAAAGTCAAGTCGGAAGTTCGGGCCACCTTCTATCCCAAGTTTGAGAATGAAAAGTCCGATCAAGAGGTACTGCCTTGTCTTTCTACTCGTTTGGTTTATAGGATTGCCTTGGTAGATCCGAAGTCGGATGATCGAGGTGGTGGCTTCCGGCAGAGGTGTTGTGGAGGTGAGTTCCCGAGCAGTGAAAAGAAGCTTGCTTATCCAGGGTTGTGTAGGTCACCTTGAAACATTCTGGATCCCTGTTTATGTACGCTGGTGATGGACAGGCTTTCGCGAAAAACAGCTATGGAAATCTGTAAGGCGGTTTACTCTTGGCCTGGTTTTCACGTTGTTTGTTTTTTGCTTGTGCCAGATATACGGCTGTTGGTGTGTATGTTCTGGGAAAAACCCTCGAACAAGCATGGGGCGATCAAGCCAAAGCCAAGCAGAGAGAATTCAATGCGTACCTTAAGGTTTTCCCAGGGTTTTTGCCAATGGTATCATGTCAAACTGGTTTTTATTTCCCAGGAACACCGTATTTCAATCTCCATGGAACTTGTGACGGCTGTGCTTGGTGATCACGGTCAAAGGCCTCTCAAAGATTACGGTCTGATGTCTGTTATTCTTTTAACAACGGCACTGACTTCTACCTCGTTACATGAACAGTGGTGGTGACAGCAGTTACAGAGCTTACAGGCCGTCCCAGATTTTTTTCTACCCCCGATCTTGTGGAATTCTGCAGGAAGTGGCGTCTTCCAACGAATGAGGTGTGGTTATTCTCCACAAGGTATGTGTACGATCTACTTGATCTGTCATTGCGAATGAATTTCTCGTCAGGAAGTCCGCCTCAACATGTTTCGCGGCTTACGACGTCTTATGTGAGCAGAGCATTTATACGCTTGTTCGCGACAACTTCAACAAAATTGCAGATGCGACTGTCCCAGGTATTTGTTTCTCTTCTACTTGCGTTTCTCTTGAATGTTTCCTTCTTGTGGTGTAGGCACCGAAAGTCATGCCGTAGTGCAAGGGGAAATACTGGAGGGACTGGTTGCTCGTATCGTTTCTTTTGAAAGTGGCAAGAAGCTAAAGCTTGTCGCTGAGAAATATCCTGTTCCAGATCATGCACCTGGTAAATGTATCGCTTCAGTTTTGATTGGTATGTTTACGATCGGGCTCTTGCAGGTGCTTACACTGCGCCTGGTCTCCGTGAAATATGCATGGCAAACAGGCAGTCTGAGAAAGAGGTACAGGGTAGCTCTTGACGTACGGACTAATGATCATGTCGTCCAATTTTTCAGCAAAGCAAGGCTCTTTTGAAGGCTGTTGGCACCGACTTTTGCTCGGACTGGAATGCATGGTTTGACAAGGAAAATGATGCTACTCAGACAGCGTGGCTAAACAAATTTCTACAAACACCTCCTGCGGATGATCCCACAGCTAAACTTCAGGTACCACTATGTTCTTTTGTTCTGCCTCTAAACTTCTATGGGCAGGAAATGGTGAACTTGCTACGCCAAAAAAATATGCGCGTGAGGTTTAAATGTCAGTCTCGCCAAGGCTCGGAGAACGAGTTCACAATGACTATTCATGTACTACAAGACTCTGTATTTAGAAGATATCAGAAGGAGATGCAGTATGTGATTTTCTTTCTGCCGCATTCTCTAATAATTTCTGTGCAGGTACAATCCAAGCCTATGGCCTTTATACAGAGGTGCGGTTTTTTTAACAAGGAAACTTCATAACATCTGACTTTTATATGTTTCTACAGGTTTCTTTGTGGATGTTATGTTAACCAAAGACTCGCAAAACAATTCTTCTTCTTCTAATGAGACGGAAGAAGTGACTTTGGGACACCTAGACCAAGATGCAATGGCGGATGATGCTGAGCACTTGATGGTGAAATTGAAGTTCTTGACATACAAGGTAACACGTTTTTTGCTTGTCTTCTTATGTGGTAACCTCAACTGGATGGTCTTTTCTCTCTCTTTCAGATTCGTACGTTCCTTATTCGTAATGGTATTGATATTCTGTTTAATAAGGGGAAGCAGGGTTATAAAGACTATTATTTCAGGTACTTTGGATTCGAAGTTTTGGGCTCAGCTTATGTTTATTTGCCAGGCAAATGCAAATCTGGGGCACTTCTGCGGAAAAGCAGCGAGAACTTTCCAGGATGTTGGATGAATGGTATTTTGTTAGAATCGCTGATTGCAGCTGCTCATCCTCTTGCTTTCCAGGGCTTCACACATCACACAAAAGATTAAGATTGGCAAGCTCAAAGAAGGGTCCTATCTTTCAGAAGCCGAACCGTTTCTGAAAGCTTTTGCTAGTCGCAGTACAAAGAACCAGCTACTGGTTGGTCAAGCTGGTACTGATATTGACACCGCGGCGTACCTAGCTGCATCTCGTGAAGGTGATGACGAGGAAGGTGATCTTAAACAAGACGTTGGAGCTTCGCCGGATGTGCCGATTTCCCGTGAAGGCATCAAGGCTAAGGGTCTGCTCGTGTTTTTTCCTGGTACTTGCTTACTATCGTTTATCGTGAATCGCTTAACGTCAACTTTTCTCTTTGTAGGAATACCTGGGTGCGCAAAATCTGCTCTTTGCAAGGAGATTATCAGCACTCCAGGTGGCATCGGTGATAAAAGACCGATGAAAAGCTTAATGGGAGACATGATAAAGGGTATGGCGTTGCTATGAGCGACTGACTCAATATTGAGCGTCATCTCGTTGCAGGACGTTACTGGCCGAAGCTTGAAGAGGAAAGAAAGAAAAATCCAAACGTAATTACTCTGGCTGATAAGAATGCTCCGACTGCGGATGTGTGGAAGCTGGTAAGTATTTTGTTTTAGCCTGTACTACTACTCAAGCACCGTTTCAGGTGACCGATATTTGCAAGTCAACTGATGCCATTGCGGTTCCCATAGTTCCTGACTCTGAAGGTTTGACGGCTTGTATAAGCAGAGGAACTTCTAATCATCGTGGTTATTTCAGGCACGGATTCAAATCCATTTTCTTTGGATGCCCTTGCCGTTTTTATTTTCCGAGTACTTCACCGAGAGCAGCATCCGGTAGGCTTTCGTATTTTGAGGCGCTGCTTTTTCTTTACTGCCTGTTTGTCGCAGGGCAACCTTGACAAAAACTCCCCATATCCTGGATATGTGCTTATGATGTTCTACAACCTGTACGATGGGATGGTCTGTATTCTTTTCTTTTCTTCATTTTGTTTTCTTTCCTTACTAGCACGATAATTTTGTGTATAGGATCGAAGTGAATTTGACGCGGAGCTACACAAGCGGTTTGGCTATCTGATCAAATTTCCCTTGTTGAAGCCGAATCGGTAAAATCTTGTCCTTTTTATCTCTACCGGAAGCGAGTTACGACGCGTGAATTCCAGACCTCCTTTGCCGGGACCTCTGAAAGCTGTGCTCGACGAAGGACTTGAGCTGTTCAGGAAACACGCCGCAAAGCATGGGAAGTAAGTCATCTGATGGTTTGTGGTTGTTATTCTAAGTTTCCCACTTCGCAGGGCGGATCCATCGAAGGGAAGCTTCAAGGGAGAGTGGGACGCATGGGAGAAAAAACTGAAGGACACCATGCTTGCACATTCGGCACACATAAATGGCATTCAGGTAAAACCGTTTTTTCGATTGACAGTAGTTTACAGAGGTGCGCTTGCAGGTTCCCTTCGAAGATGTTGTCAAATCTGTTCGAGAGAAGCTTCGTGATGTGGTTACTGGCAACGTTCAAGTTCACATGCCAGATACCCAGGAGCGTAAGTTTCGTGCATTCAATTACGCTGCGGTCTCCTTACCTGTGGATGGCATTTTGAGCGCTCTGGCCAAGGTAAGTGTCCTAAAGTTTTGAGAAGAATTTGGATTCACAAGTTGTGCTACAGGTATCGAGCGCAGACGCCGGAGCAAAGGCGTTTCTGGCTCCAAAGAATCTTAGCAACACCCTTCGTGCCGGGCATGTGACACTTGCGCACGTTCGCTCTCACGGTGCGGCAGCGGTGGCGGAGTATGGCGCATACGTTGGGACGGAAGTGCCGGTTAAGTTCACAGCATTCTTGTACTGCCCAAGGATGTGTGCTTTCGAGGCTCATCTAGACAGCAAAAGCGTGGCTTCCAAAAACCCAATGCCGCACGTCACGGTGAGTTTTTTCTTTTCTTTGATTCTCTTTATTTCACTGGACTGACCTTCGTTCCGCACAGTTATGGACCGCTCCTGGCACGCCACCCAAGGAGGCAGGATCGCTGGGCAAGCTAGCTGCGGAGGGCCAAGCTACTCGAGTGGTGCTTCGGCAGCCAATCGTGGTGACGGGCAAGGTGGAGTTCAAGATGTGAGAGAGTAGAGACTCTCAGAGAGAGAGAGAGAGAGAGACATAGGTGGTTTTTGTGAATACCCCTCACCCCCTGTGTAGAGTTGAGTGAGCGACTGTGGATCGCGCGAGATGAGAATTGGAGAGAGGTAGAGAGGTAGCTAGTAAGGCCTCTGGCCAATGTAGTTCCCTGGGGGATCGTAGTTGCAGATCATGAACACGTCCCCGTCGGCACAGGTGACTCTTGCGCATCCCACCCGCGTTGAGCTTCTCCACACGATCTGTGTGTAGTGGCCACAGTCGTCGTTGAAGAGGCACGAGTTGGAGTAGTAGTCATACCAGCGGCGCTCGTCCACCCAGGCGTCGACGGCCTCGGACGGGCTCCACGGCTTGCCCCGCCCCCAAAAGATGTTCTCGCCGTAGGGACCCCCCGAGTGCTGGAGATAGCAGTTGCCCGACGCCTGCTTCTGGTTTGCCCACCATTGCGCGTACGCTGCCAGCCGGTTGTCCCACACCAGCGGCGGAACACCCACGCTGTAGCGAGCTCGGTTCTGGCCGTAGAGGAACTGCGCCACGAATGCGTTGTATCGGGGCGGCCAGTAGCTCGCGCCTGCCAGGAGCGAGCAATGCAGCACGTAGCACACGGCCACCACACAGTGGTATCTTCGATCAACCATGAATCTCATAGCATGAATGTATGTACGTAGTGTAAGTGTCTGTCTCTATCTATGTATCTATGTATCTATCTGTCTAGAGCCCGAGACGACCCTGCTTCAAATGCCTACCTCTTCTTCTTCTTCTTCTTCTTCTTCTTCTTCTTCGCTTCTGGGGGCTTTATAAACTATCTATCCGTCGTGCGAGCAGCCAGGAAGCTTTATGAGCGCCACTGTCCAATGCGAGTGCGTGGTTGAGTGGGAGGAGCTCTGTTGCTACAAGAGAAGCGGCGCTCTCTTTCTCTTTTTGCCATTGCGCGGTGCCAGCCTTTACCAAGTCGTTGGAATCTCTGTTTGGCCCCGTAAAGTAGTATATATGCGATGCGCTCTGGCTGGCCGAGGGATGGTGAAAAGGATGGATTGGCAGCGAGCATTCCTTTGCTCCGCTCCGCTTGCAATGGCTGGCTTGATTGCACATGGGCGCAAGCGCGCGAGAACATGGATGTACACTCAATTCACACTTTAGCTGCCACCGCCTGACACAACACCCACCAGTTGAGCAGTCACCATTTCAAAAGCTTACAAGGCTTATAGGTGAGAAGACAAGCAAGAGGAGAGGAGAAAAGAGTGGCGCGCGACGAGGCGAGTGAGGCCTATAGCTAGGAAATCGGCTATTAGTCACTGTTTCAGAGTTAGGGGTCACGGGAGGCTCTTGGCTGTCTGCTTTCCTCCTCTGCCTGTACGCGAGCAGGACAGGATTGGTCAAAAAGCCGCGCGAATTCATTATTTGATCCAAGTCGAGCTGCTGCTCCAATGTGGATGGCTGGTCTCCATCCATGCTTTCTTCCAGGAAGACTTGTGCTAAACTAAACACTATTTTATTATCCAAAGCGTGGAAAATGTTTCCTCGAGTTCTTGAACATCGAGCATTTCTTGGCTGATTCGATCCCATTACCAACATTTTTGGCCAGCGTAAGCTTCTTGACAATGATAAATCGATGTTATTCCCATTATCCATTATCATTATAGATTTACTCACCTCGACCATGAGAACACCACCATCCATCCGAAAAGTGGCCAGGAAAGATGATCACGTTCTACTCCGGTTGATACTACTCGATCACTGTAACTACTATCCACCAGCAAGAATGGATGTTTAGCCGAAGACTAGGCGAGGTAAAAAGTGGTCACCTATGAGGAAGAATGTCGCAATCTTGCTGATGTTTAGTACAGAAGGGAATTCCGCAAATCCTAATCCGAAAGAACCAGTAACATTGATTAATGCATGGATGAATGGAACACGTTTCTTTTCTCGATGGTGGATGAATCCGACCCTGGCGCGTCTGAAAGGCTCCCCATGGCGGAAGGCAGGCGCGGATCAAGCTCAGGTCGGCGCGATCGAAAAGCACCGTCGATAGATTTAGCCGGTCCTAAGGGAGACTGGGACTTCGTCGTTGATCGGAGTTGAGCTCGTTTGCAAGCAGTGTGGTCCATGCCACACCGCCGGGAAGAAACGGCATTGTAAGCAGCAGCTCCCGAGCATCCTTGCTCCGTCCCGCCCGCCCCAACACGTCCAGCATGCAGTGGTAGTGCTCGCTCGAGTGGCTTATCCCATAGTCACTCGCCAGGCCCATGAAGTAGCGCATCCCCTTGTCCAGCAGGCCCCCGTGGCTGCACGAGAAGAGGACGCTCAGCATTGTCACCTGATCGGGAATGATGCCCTCCACCCCCATTGCACTGAAAACCTCCACCGCCGCAGCGCCTTGTCCGTTGTGGGCATTTGCGGCAATGAGAGCACTCCAAGACACCACGTCTCGTTCCGGCATCCTATCAAACGTCGCCCTTGCTTCCATCAGATGGCTGCTCTTCCCATACATGCTGATCACGGCATTGGACACCACCGTGTCGCCCGTAACGAGCTCCGATCCGTAGGCGTCTCCAAAGCTGGAGAGGACGATTCTCCCCTGGGACACCAGCCTCACGCTGGCGCAGGCCTCGAGGGCGCTCACCAGCGTCACTCTGTCACCTTGAAAACCCTCCATATCCATCGCCCGCACCAGCTGCAATGCCTCCTCGCCTTGCTCGCTCTGGGCATACGCCTGGATCACAAAGTTCCACGATATCACGTCCCGCACCGGCATCTCCTGCAGAAGCAACTCTCGTGCCGTGTCCAGATCCCCGTTGTGCGCATGCCCGGCAAGCAGCGCGTTCCAGGTGACCACGTCCTTCTCCGGCATCTCGTCAAACAGCGCCTTGGCCGCAACAACGTCGCCAGCCTGCGAGTAGGCCTGGACAAGCACATTCCACGCCACCCGGTTGCGCAGCGGCATGCTGTCAAACGCACGGCGTGCCGCCCTTAAGTCACCAGCGTCGGCGTACATGCCGACCATGCTGCTCCTCGTCACCACGTCCTGTTCCGGCATCTTGTCGAGGAGTGCCTCTGCCTCGCGAATATTGCCCTCCCGAGCGTAGGCAGTGATCATAGTGTTCCACGTCCTTAAGTTCCTCCGAGGGGCTCTGTCAAAGAGATCTTTCGCCCTTGTCATGTCGCCGTGCTGGGAATGAGCTGCGATCATCGCGTTCCACGACACCATGTCTTGCTGTGGCATGCTCTCGAAAACTCTCACAGCCGTTTCCACCTCTCCAACTCGAACGTATGCCTGTATCAGCGCATTCCAAGCCGCAACGCATGTCTCCGGCATAGCATCAAATGCCTTGCGGGCCTTGCCAACATGTCCGTACCTGGCATACGCTGCAATCAAGCTGGTCCACGACACTAAGTTTTTCTCTGGCATCGCATCAAACAGCTCCCTCACCTGAGTCATATCTCCCGATTCTGGATCATCTTCCTGAGATGAATATGCAGCAAGCATTGCGTTCCAGGAAACCACATTTCGCTCTGGCATGCCGTCAAACACTACTGCTGCCTTGTCTACTTGCCCTTCCCGGGCATACGCTGCAGCCATAGTCGTCCACGACACAACATCCCTTTGTGGCATAGAATCGAAGGTTAGCTTGACTCCTGCAATATCGCTGTTTTGAGAGTACGCTTGCAGCATGGCGTTCCATGCAACCAGGTTTCGCTCTGGCATCAGATTGAAGAGGGTGACTGCCTCATGTAGCTGGCCGCAGGCAGCATACACAGAGATGAGAGCCACCCATGCAATGAAATCTCTCTCTGGCATCTTGTCGAATTTTTCTTTTGCGCTCTTGCAGCTTCCTTCCCGAGAGTAGGCTACCACCATAACCACCCAAGAAACAAGATCGCGACGAGGCATTCTCTGGAATAAAAGCTCGGCCTCCAGCATATGCCCGTGTTGGGCATATGCAGAGACAATAATGTTCCAGGAAAAGACGTTGGGGCATGCCAAGCTCTCAAAGACCTTTCTCGCGTTTTCTAGGCTCCCACACTTGCTGTACATCTCCACGATCATGTTGCACACGTAGATGTTCCCACAGTGCTGGCTTTGTGCGAATAGCGAGTGCAGGCGTTGGCCGGCAGCGAGGTTCTTTGTCCTGGTGCACAGCTTGAAGGCCTCGGCGTAGGAATTGGGATCGTCTGGGATGGGACACACTTGGAGCTTGGCCATCTTCCATCACTTCATACGCAGGACACGTCTGGAAAGAAGTGAAAAGCTCCATGAATGACACAAGCAGCAGCAGTAGCAGCGAATTGTCAACACTACGCACCACGAGGAATGATGACGTGAGAAATCGTTAGTCCTTTGGGTCCTTTAGGATGCACGCGTGCCTTGTGCTCCCTTGCTGCTGCATAGTGGCTGAGCGATCCGATCATCCATTTATCCCAGCCTTGGAAAGCACCTAGGCTAGAGCGCCTTGAAACTTGCCCCAAGATCAAAGTTAGAACCAGAATTAAAAAAAATGTAACAATGTTTATATGCTTAAATAGATATGAAAAATGATTATTTTTAGACCATGGACATGAAAAATTTAAAATAAATATGGAAGTAGAGATATGTATGAAGATTTTAAGGTGTGATTATGAGAAATAATTTAGATTTATAACTGAATTTATGGTGAATAGAAACCAAGACAAGCTATCATACGAGAATAAACACTCTATTGTAGCAACACTATATTGTAGGATTTTTGTAAAAATTTAACGTATATTTATTATTACATGTGATTATTAAGAGATTAGGTGTACCAAAAATCTGAGAACGCAGCTACATTACTCGTGATTTGTTTGTATACACACTCACTTACACTTTGTTCCTTGAGCTTGAATTTGATTTGCCTTCAGTGACTATGTATATACATAGCATCATTCCCTTATAAAAAATTTACAAAGAATTTCTAATTCTCAGCTGCAAACGTCTTCACTAGCTCATTTTCTAGTAGCGCCAATCTGTGTAAAAACCTCCTACTATCTGAGCTAAGAGCTTCAGCTCCTTATGCACACTAAAAGGTATCTACCTGGCTTCTTCGAAACACACCTCAACAATGGAGCTCTTGAGTTTATTGCCACGGCCACAATGTCCTGTGACTTACTTATAAACCCCTCCTCTAAATCAAATCCTGTAAAACCGCCAATCTGCTTACAAATACCCCAGGCATATGTAGTATATCCACCTGTTTTGTAGCACGTCTTTTACTCTACTGACTTTTGAAACCAGCAAATCAAATCACTTTCTTCCTTGATTTTGTTCAAACAAGAGCTCCCATCCCCGTATACTCCTGTAGCTGGAATGGACCTGTTCTGGAAATGGATCCCCAATTAGCCGGACAATTGTGAAGGTGTGAGAGGGAGATTAGAGAGTACGCCCTTGAGCCCAGGCAAATGTCAATCCCTGGCCAGTGTACGCGGGCGCATACGTATCGGTGATGCTGTGTGTGGCGTATGTACCGGCGAAAAGTCAATGAGCCATCCCCAAGCTCCCAGTTGTGACAGACAGATAATCTCAAAGTCAACTGCCCAACTTCCGGAACAAAGAAGAAGGAGAGACGAAGAATTGCAGGCCCAGCGCAAAACGCAAAGAAAGCTCCCTACCCCGTCCTTCCTGACCGTCGGTGATCGGGGCGACCGCCGCCAGTCAACGTTCGACCAGCCCATCCGACGGTGGAGAGCCTGCCCCTTCCAACGGCTGGATGCACCCTTTATAAAGGGCGCATTTTCGATGGATGTTTTGCTGCTTCTTCGTTCGCTAACTATACGGGGCGTTCCTCCTTCTCTTCTCGCTTTCTCCTCTTTCTCTCTCTCTCACTCTCTCTATACTGCTCTGTAAGATCAATCTCTTGAAAGCGTAGTTTGAATCTTACTAGTCATGGGTATTCGCTGCAGCCTCTTGTTTCTTTCCTTGCTGCTAGCTGTCGACGTTCTCGCTCGGCCTCTTCCACCAGGTGAATGCAGTAATACTGCGGCAGAAACGAGTCCTGACTCACGGATTCGTCTTGCGTTGTGTTGTGCAGTACTAGAAAAGAAGAAGGATGCAGTGGAAGCAGCAGAGATCCTAGCTGAGAAGGAGGACTTGGATGCTGCGAGTGTGGTAATATACATACACAATCTGATTCGAGGCCTGCTTTGAATTTGATCTCATGTCAAACACATGTTGGTTTTCATGACAAAACGCAGCAGCTGAAGGCGCAAGTCAAGTGCGAGGAATCCAAAACAGCTTCCGATCGTGTTGCTCGAGAGCTTGCTGACAAAGCTCCGGTGCCTGCTGATCATATAGATTACATCTACGATGTGGATCCTTGATCCAGGCCTCTCTTTTTTTTCTCTACCCGAATTCGAGCTCAAGATATGTACTATAGAGTGTGAGGGCCACGCGCAACTATCATCCTCTTCAAAATGTTATATGTGTTCTCCAGTTTACATCTCCGCATTGTACAGAGCGGGGCGAGCATTATAGGGACAGGGCAGTGCAGCAAACATATAAAAAAGTCTCCTGTTCTTGGGAGTTTCGACTTTGATATACCGCATCTAAGATACAACTCTCGGGAGAACCATTGCTAAACTATAAGCTCTATAGACTTTTCAAACTCCATGTATGTATGCGTGTGCCAGTGTGAGAGTGTGTGTGTCACGAGTGGCGTGGGAAATATGGACATGATCACCGGGATTTTATGGAATGTGACGTTGGAACATATGATACACTTAGAGGTTTGATTGATTATCATCTCTATCTTCGATCACCGGAGGAGCAGTAGTGGGATGAGGCGTGGCCGCATAAGATTCTAGTGCTTGCAGCAAAAACTCTTGACCCGACTCCACTCCGCTTTGCTCCATCTTGGACATAAGCACTGTCATCTTGTCCAGCTGCCGCTCCTCCCCATAGGCCTTGAACAGTATGAGGTACGAGGACACGGCGGGCTTGATGTCGAGCTTGGACGCGTTGATGAACAGCGCCTCGGCCTCGTCCACCAGGCCGTGCTCAGCGTAGGCCCGCAGCAGCACGTCCAAGGTGGACACCTGCGGCTTGACGGGCGACCGCACCATCTTGTCGAAGCACTTTCGCATCGTGTCCAGCTCCCCAGCCCGGCCGTAGGAGCTCATGAGCGTGTTGAAGGTGGTCAGGTCGGGGCCGAGGCCCGCCATGTCCATCCTCACCAGCACTTGCTCCATCTTTCCCAGCTCCCGCGACTGCCCGTAGCTCGCCAGCATCGAGTTGAAAGTGGTGGCCGAGGGCTTGCACCCGGACAAGTTGACGAGCGACTTGTAAGTCCGCTCCATCTTGACAAAGTCTCCCGCCCGGCCGTAAGCATCGATGAGGACGTTGAAGGTGACAAGGTCCGGCCTCACGCCATGCTCGCTCATCTCCTTGAGCTTGTACTCCATGTCGCGGTACAGCCCCTTCTTGGCGTAGGCGTCCATGATCCCGTTGAAAGTGTAGGCGTCGGGCTTGAGATCTTCTCGGCGCAGGAGCTCCAGGAAGAGCGCCTCGGCCTTGTCCGTGAGCCCGGCCTGCGCACACGCCCGGGTGAGCATGTTGTACGTGGCGAGGCTCGGGCACGAGTGGACGCTCGTCTTCATGTGGCCGAAGTGATCCAGCGCGCTGTCCAGCGCTCGCGCAACGTTCTTGCACCTCAGGTGAGCCATGATGATGGCATTCAACACCGGCGTGGTCCTGGACGAGAGCTGGAGCTGCGAGAAGATCCACGACGCCAGCCGCAGCTGCCCCTGCTTGCCCATGGTGTCGATGATCTTGGCGTGCGCCACCTCAAGGTCCCGGTTGCTCAGCCGCGCCTCATTCTTTTGCAGCCACTTGAAGAGCTGTGGCGATGACAAACACATCAAAACCTCGCTTGATCGAGCACGATGAACTAACCGCGAGCGCCAGCGCCCAGTCGTTGAGCCTGCCAATCTCGTCCACCAGCGCCATGAATCCATCCACGGGAATGTGCCTCGCGTACTTGTCCAGGACGTGGCTCTTGCTGCTCTTCTTGTCTTGGAGCTCGTGGAGAATCCTCATCACGGCCGGTTGCTGCTGCTGCTGCTGCTGCTGCTGCTGTTGCTGCTGGTGGCTGGAGAGAGATCGATCGGCCCTCCTCCCCCTCACAAATCTCATCCTGGCGAGCTGCCCGCTGCCGCTCGTCCTGGCGTGATCGCCTCCACCATAGCCCAGCGCGGCAAAGCAGTGCCAGCGGCATTCCATTTTTCTAGGGTTAGGGTTTTAGGACGACGGCTATGGCGCAGTTCGACCAGACGCTCAAGATTGCGCCCTTCCTGGACAGGCATCTCGTGTTCCCGCTGCTCGAGTTCCTCCAGGACAAGGGGATCTATCCCAATGACCAGATTCTCAAGGCCAAGATCGAGCTGCTGGCCAAGACCAACATGGTCGACTACATGATGGACATCCACCGCAGCCTCTACGACGAGGTCCCCAAAGGTAGGCGGCCTCCATTTCGCGCTCCAATGCCCATTTCCCGTTCCTTCTTCTCGCAGAGATGATGGACAGGCGTGCCGAGGTTGTGAATCGCCTCAAGGCCCTCGAGGATCTGGCGGCTCCCTTGATCGCCTTCCTGCAAAACCCGCAAATGACAGCGGAGCTCAAGCCCGAGAGGCAAGCCAATCTCCAGATGCTTCACGACCGGTACCAGGTACTTTGTTTCTTTGGTTTCTTGTAGCACCACCATTCTTCTTCTTCGCAGATTGGTCCCGAGCACATCGATGCGCTCTACCAATACGCAAAGTTCCAGTTTGAGTGTGGCAACTACTCGGGAGCCGCGGATTTTCTCTACCAGTATCGGACCTTGACCATCAACAGCGAAAAGGCTTACAGTGCAATGTGGGGCAAGTTTGCAGCCGAGATACTGATGCAAAACTGGAGCGGTGCAGAATACGAGCTTGGGAAGCTCAAGGAAGCCATGGATTCTAAGGTAGTTTTGCTTTTTCTTTCCTACTTAGAAAGAAATGTTTTTGTTTCTTGTCCTCTTTGCAGAATTTTTCATCGCCGCTTGTCCAAGTGCAAAATCGAGTGTGGCTCATGCATTGGAGCCTCTTTGTCTACTTCAACCTCGAAAGTGGGAGGCACAGTCTCATCGACTTGTTTATGAATGATAGGTGAGTGTAGGGAAAAGAAAGTTTGTGTTTTGGCTTCTCAGAGTACCTCACTCATTCTGTGTCACCAGATACCTTCATGTGATACAAACGCATGCACACCATCTGCTGAGGTACCTCGCTGCTGCCTTTGTGGTCTGCAAGAGGAAGCATCGCGGGAACATCAAGGACTTCATCAAGGTGATCCAGCAGGAGCATCACACTTACAGGGATCCCATCACCGAGTTCCTCGAGTGCCTCTACGTCAACTACGACTTTGAAGGAGCTCAACGGAAGCTCCAAGAGTGTGAAGATGTGAGTGCCGCTTTGCTTCCCACCGCTCTCTTCATTCGTTTTTGTTTGCTTTGCAGCTCATCCTGAATGACTTCTTCCTTGGGCGTCCGGAAACGGACAACGGCTACATTGTGTACAAGTTCAGGGACGAGTTTTTGGAGAACGCACGCCTGGCAATGTTCGAGACATACTGCAAAATCCATCAAAGGATTGACATTGGGTAAAAGTGTTCCTGGAAGTGATGGCTTGTAACTAATGTTTTTTTTCTTTTTGTGGGATCCTCAGGATGCTGTCTGACAAGCTTCACATGAATTACGACGATGCCGAGCGCTGGATCGCCAACCTCATCAATTTTTCCAGGCTCGATGCCAAGATCGATTCGAAGAATGGAACGGTTGTCATGGGCGTGCAGCACACGGACGTGTAAGTGGAAAATCGTGTTTGAATTCTCCCTCGCTGCTGTAACAAGCTTGATGCTGCAGGTACGAGCAAGCCATCGAACGCACAAAGCCTCTGGCAACCCGAACTTACGTACTAGCACGCAACATCGCCGAGAATTTGCCTGTGAGAGCTTGAAACCCTTGCTCGAAGTTTTGGTTCGTGAGATCTATCAAACGCAAGCGCCTTTATTTCTTTTGTTTAGAGAACACTCTTACGTAACAATCTATCCTTTCGCCGTTTAACGTCATAGCTCAGGAGCTTACGTTGTCTTCCTGCAACTGTGAAGAAGCAAAGCTAGTGGTTGGATGGGATTTCTTTTTTCTCGTCTTTGGCAAGCTTACCTGAACGATATGAGGCAGGAACTTCCCATTGAGCGTGATTTGCACCCGTTCTTCACCCTCTTTGCCTTGGATTTTGTTCACCTCGCAGAAGAAACCAACTGAGGACATTCTGCCACCCAAAAGCCACAGCTTGAAAGAAGACTCGAGAGGGTGGGAATGACATACATGCCATCGCCAAATTCCTCGTTGATGATGGCCTTGATGCTCTGGGCGTAGTGCATCACAGCTTCGTTCAGCCTGAGAGCCACAAGATTGACAAAAAAGAAGCAATCCAAGTCCGAGAAACTACTGACCGATAAACAATGGGATCCTGGATGAGGGTCGGTTCGTAGGAGCGAAGTGGGGGGGCTCGCATCTTCTCGAGGAGCTCATCCGAGAGCTGTGGCACGGCATTCCGGAGGGGAGACACTTGTTCCGGGTGAAGCTGAGCCTGGCGGTGGAAGAGCTGCCCCACATACGCATTCGTGAGCCCAGTCTCGGCTGCGATCATCGTGAGCGTCTTGCCCGACCGGGACTTTGCTTCCAGCAGCTGCTCCACCAGCGCCCTCTTGGTCCTCTTCTCGCTAGACATCCTTTCTCTCACAACTTCTAGGTCCACTCACACAGTGAACGCGAGGTAAATAAAAGATGGATGATGTGATTCCGGAGGAGGAGGTTCCGCCATGGACACAACAGATCACTGTGCGCGGTCTTGCCGTGAGCGTGCTACTCGGGGTTGTGTTCTCCATCATCACCCACAAGCTCAGCCTCTCTATCGGCGTCGTTCCCTCGCTCAATGTGGCTGCGGGGCTCTTGGGTTTCCTCCTGGTGAAGTCGTGGATGGCTCTCGTGGCCAAGCTGGGCCTCGTGACCAAGCCCTTCACCCAACAGGAGAACACGGTCATCCAGACGTGCGTGGTTGCGTGCTATGGGATTGCAGTCAGTGGTAAGCTCTCCGGGCCGGGATCCCTCTGTCGCAAATCTTGGTTTGCTGGTGATACCGTCCAGGTGGATTCAGCACCTATCTGTTTGGGATGAGCAGCCGGACGTTCCAGGTCATTGGGCCTGGCTCTCCTGGAAACAGTGCACAGGATGTCAAGGATCCGAAGCTCGGCTGGATGACTTCGTTCGTGCTTACGTGCAGCTTTGTTGGAATCTTTGCTCTCGTGCCCCTTCGAAAGGTAGTGCTGCTCTTTTAGACTTCATTCAAGTTACTGCTCTCTAGGTGATGGTGATCGATTACAAGCTCACGTATCCAAGCGGCACAGCCACCGCAATGCTCATCAGCAGTTTCCACAGCAACGCGGGTGCTCACGAGGCCAGGTAACCGGGATTGGATTCCGATACTCCGTTTGATCGTCGTGGTGTTCGTAGGAAACAAGTGGCCTGCCTCGGTAAGTCCTTTGCCGGGAGCTTTGCATGGAGCTTTCTCAAGTGGCTCGTTAGCGGTGGCACTGGAAGCAACTGCGGTTTCGAGCATTTCCCGACGCTGGGGCTCAAAGCCTATGCAAACACGTACGTGAAGAGTTCATGGAACTCTTGAGAGATCTCCTCTCACTTGACTGTGGATATCGAGGCAGGTTCTATTTCGACTTCAGTGCTACATTTGTGGGCACCGGCATGCTGTGCCCGAGCATCGTCAACTTTTCGGCACTAGCGGGAGCCATCCTGTCTTGGGCAATCCTGTGGCCTCTCATCGGTGCCCGAGCCGGGGACTGGTATCCCGCGGGCCTGGAACCTACGAACTTCAAGGGGCTCTATGGATACAAGGTATGTGTGTGTTTTACAAAGGACAAGTCTGAGCTTGCTTGCTTTCTTAGGTGTTTATCGCCATTGCTCTCATCCTCGGCGATGGCCTCTACAATCTTCTCAAGATCGCCGTCATCAGCCTGAGGGCGGCCATGATCCACAAGGCAGGAGGGGACGACGCAACCGGTACGCAAGATCATCTTGGTTTGAAAAACTGACTGTGGAGCTCGTCCATCGGGCTCGCAGTAGTCCCGCTGTTGGATCTGGATCGAGACAAGCTAACCGAGACGTTCACCATGGAGGGCGTGCCAATGTGGATAGCCGCTACCGGATACGTGCTCCTGTCGCTGCTCTCGGTGCTGCACATACCCACGATCATCCCGGCACTACGCTGGTACCACGTCCTCGTCTGCTACCTCGTCGCCCCGGTGTTTGGCTTCTGCAACGCTTACGGCGCCGGGTTGACGGACTGGAACCTGGCGTCGTCGTATGGCAAGATGGGGCTGTTCGTGTTCGGGGCGTGGGTGGGATCGTCGGGTGGCGGCGTCATGGCTGGCCTTGGAGCTTGCGGCCTCGTCGTGTCCATCGCCTCCAACGCTGCCGATCTCATGCAAGACTTGAAGACCGGCTACCTCACACAGTCGTCGCCGCGCTCCATGTTCGTGAGCCAGCTCCTGGGGACGCTGCTGGGATGCTTTATAGCTCCGCTCACCTTCTGGATGTTTTGGAAGGCGTTCCCGGACGTCGGCCTGCCCGACGGGGAGTACAAGGCCCCCACCGCCATCGCCTACCGCCAGATCGCCATCCTGGGTGTGCAAGGCCTGGCAGCTCTTCCGGCCCACTGCCTCGAGTTTTGCATCGCCTTCTTCGCGCTGGCGCTGCTCCTGAATGCCGGCAGGGACTGCTTCTCCTGGCGGTGGCTGCCAATCCCGGTGGCGATGGCGATCCCCTTCTACATCGGCGCCTACTTCGCGGTGGACATGGTGGTGGGCAGCCTGGTGATGATCCTGTGGGAGAGGCTCCGCGGCAAGGACGAAGCGAGCGCGTATGGAGCGGCAGTGGCGTCGGGCCTCATCTGCGGCGATGGATTGTGGACGATCCCCTCAGCCGTGGTGGCGCTGCTCAAAATCAAGCCTCCCATGTGTATGACCTTCCTTCCAACTGCGACTTAAAAAGGAGATTGACTGGGTTTGACTGACTCGCTGACTTTGTCCGTTGACCGACTCCTCTCATGCGTTGCCTCTTCTTCTTCGTCTTCGTCGTCTTCGCTGAAGAAAGTTCAAGCACTTTTTGAGAAGTTCTCGATCGAGGAGATCTATACCCTTCGTCGGCGGCGCTGGATCACGGGCAGGAGCGAAGAGGCGGGAGAAGAGATCCTCCTCATCCCTCGATCGGCAGGCCTAGGAGCGCTTGCAGGGGAATTCAATCGCCTCGCCACAAGAGCTCGCCGGCGCGCCCGAGGCCTCGCCGCTGCCCGCCTGAATCCTCTCACGGTACACTCGCCCAGCAGCCGGCTCACCGCCGTCGCCCAGGACGCCAGCATCTTCTCGCAATCGCATTCATCGCATCGCATCTTCGCATTTTCTGGTCCCCATAGGGTCGCGTCCAGTTGCCACGTCGGACGGCATCCAACGAGTTAGACCTCGCCACGTGGGGGGAGCTAACTAACATTGGCCTCTGTCTTCCTTTTCCCCCTTTTGGTCGTGTCATTGTTTTTTTAATTTTAGACCTAAAGTAGGCTAGAGCTCTCCCGGGAGGAGGAGAAAAGAGGGCAACGAAGCAACGCAAATGGCGGGCATTCTTCGTTAGGGCGCGGCGGTAAGCATCCTGTCCCGTCACTCACTCTCTCTGTGCGGCCGCCCAAGCCCAAAATCGATCAATCCATGATGGGGGAGGGAGAAGAAGAGGAGGAAGATTTGCTGCTCCAAGAATGCGGCGGCGGCGGTGGTGTGGGCGGCGGCAAGGAGAGCAGCAGTGGCAGCAGCAGCAGCAGCAGTGACCACATTCTCGTGAGCCTGGGCGCGCTGGTGCCCGATCAAGACGAGGCCGCCCGGCTAGTGGCGGCGGCGTCGCACTACCACTGCCACGCGCTGCGCGGCCACACCCAGTGCAGCAACGTGGTACCGCAGTGGATCCAGGCGCCGGTGGCGGTGGTGTGGTCGGTCGTGCGGCGCTTCGACAGCCCCCAGGCATACAAGTGCTTCATCCGGGGCTGCGTGCTGAGGGAGGGCGACGGCGTGAGCGTGGGCAGCACCCGCGACGTGACGCTCGTCTCGGGCCTGCCCGCCAGCTGCAGCACCGAGAGGCTGGAGATCCTGGACGACCAGCACCACGTCCTCAGCTTCCGGGTGGTGGGCGGCGAGCACCGCCTCAGGAACTACACCTCCGTCACCTCGCTCCACGCCACCACCGCCGGCGGCCGCGACGCCACCATTGTGCTCGAGTCCTACGTGGTGGACGTGCCCGCCGGCAACAGCAAGGAGGAGACGCTCACCTTCACCGACACCGTCGTGCGCTGCAACCTCCAGTCCCTGGCCAAAGTGTGCGAGCATCTGGCCTTGCAGCAGCAGCAGCAGCACCAAGATCGATGATACGCTACGATTGTCGATCGATGAGCGATCGATCCCTCTCGCCCCCCCTCCCGCTCACAAGATCTTATGGCCGGATCAACGTAACATACTTACGTGCGTACATGCATGCTATGCGCGATGATATTGGAGATTTTTTTCATGCTTTTCAAAGAAGCACAACACTTCTGGGGCTTGGACAAAAGGGACAGTGCAACATTTGGCCGATAGATGTATCATCACCTCTTGCACTTGGCTTTGGTGGACGAGTTTGTGGACGACGATGGGTGGTGGTGCCAGTTGCGCTTGCGCTGGTTGATGAACCAGTTGTTGATTTGCTTGAGCTCCAGCCCGGTCTCTTGGACCAGCCGCGCCTTCTCGTCCTCCTGCCACATCTCTACCTAGTGAGATCGATGATCCAGCAATGCTGAGAATGCGTGAACTCACGGTTGGATACGGCCATTTGGAGTGCGCATGCCACCACGCCTTGAGAACCGAGGTGGTGTCGCCTGGCAGCTTCCCGGCTCGTCTCTTGCGGAGGATCTCCTCCCGCACGTCCACAATCCTCGCTCTATACCCCTGCAAGAAGCTCAAGTCGGGTAACTCGATCGGAAAGAATGAATCCGAGAGAAAGAAGAACCTGCTTGAGCTCGTGCTTGAGCTCCTGTCTCACGCGCTCCATGAGTGTTCTCTCCGTCTCCGTGGGGATGAGGGGTCCGAATCCCAGATTGTCCTGCCAGTAATCGCTGTCCGACTGCTGCTGCTGCTGCTGCTCCTGCTGGGGCTGCTGCTGCTCGTCCTCGTCGTCGGACATGGTTGCGCCCGTACCCTCCCCCGGCGCAGCTCCTGCTTTTCAACACGCGGTTGGCACTACACCTATGAACATTGGTTCATGAATTTCATGGCACGAACTGTGGAGAATTACCAGTTAGGCTGATGAGCGACTGTTCCAGCTCCCAGCACGCCATCACCGCTTCCTTGGCATGGACGCGAACGTGGTGCTGGAGCTGGTCCTTGAACGACTTGAGCAACATCACGTAGTGAGCCTGGATACAACACACAATAAGCACCACCAACAATCAATACGATGAAAATACCATGAAGTGGTCGAGTTCTTCCTTGCTGCTCCCGCACAATAGCTGGTGGTTGGCCAGAATGGAGTACTTTGCAATGGCGTGGTGGCACTGGGAGATTTGCCCGTCAATCCTCGACAGTTGGTCGACTGGAGTGGCAATCCTGAGGCAGGCAACGTGAGCTTCGAGCAGCTGCTCGTACAAGGGATGCGTGACAATATCAGCTTTGAGCCCGGCATTCATCTGGTAGCGCGCAGCAGCACACTCGTCCAAGTCGGGGTCACCTGGAACGGAGCCGTGGCTGGTCACATCCGCTTCCACCGCCCCCATGAGCATCGCCGCCGCCGCCACTGCTGCTTTCCTGTCTTGCTCCACCAGCAACTCGGTGGTGGTGGTGGTGGTAGTAGCAGTGGCCGGACTTGTGTTGGTGGTAGCGGAAGCTTGTTGCTGCTCGAGGCGCCTAACACCCGTGCTAGTAGCACCAGCCGCGGAGAGCCAGTTGGTATAGGACGAAGACGAGGGATTCGGCCAGGCTTGCTGCTGCTGATCTTGTGCCTGTTGTTGAGAGCTTGTTTGCCTCGACAGAGCCGAGTTGAGCCAAGTGGGCATTCCCATCTGCTGCTGCTGCTGCTTGCTCGAATCGGCAGCAGCGGCCTCGTCTCCACTCTGCGAGCTGGAACCCATGCTTGTTTGTGCTTACAAGTATAACAGATGCCCGGCCTGGGGAAAATGGCCCCCTTTTTCCTCCGCTCCGCTCTCTAATCTAGGGAGCATATGCCTCCCTCACGACAAGAATGTGTAGCTGCTCTTGTGCTTTGTGCTGTCCTTTCTCCTGGCTGCTTCGAGATTTCTGGCCTGGCTTGACGAACGACCACCAGAGATTGATCAGAGGAGGAGCTCCACGGCTATGGATGGAACATGGAAAAGAGAAGCTAGCTTTTCTCCCGCTCCAGCACCTAGGACCTAGGCCTACGAGTTAGCGCTCCAACACACACTTGACTAGAGCAAGCAACAAACAAGGAGCAAGGGAAGGGGACCATATCTATACCAAGCATCAGCATATAGACAAACTCCAGAAATTAAAACAACAGCATTGATGCAAGGATGGTAATTAGATGGAAGGCCAAGGCAAGCCACTTTCTCAGCAGTCCTACTCGCAGTCAAAATCAATCAACAGCAAGAGAAAAAGAGAGATGCATATGCTTCTCTTTAGAAATCCTTGGAAACAAGTAGGTGAAACATTGTACAAAGCAACAAACACATATGATCACCAACTAAGCGGCCCTGGCACTTGCTTCAAGGCGGACACGAATCCGGGTGGGATTTCCAAGCAAGAGGAACGGAACTGGAACTCGGGTTGCAGTCAGTGGACTGTGCAGTGAAGTGAGTGCAGAAGTTGCAGCAAGCAAAGCTGCAGACACAGGTGCAGGTGCAGGAGGAGGAGGAGGAGCAGTAGCAGGAAGGAAGGACCTTGAAGGAAGCAAGCAGCACAAAAACAAGACAGGCCAACACTGGCCCCTACCAAACATCCAAAGTCAAACTGCCTTACGAAAGATCCCAATGTAGGAATAGGAGGAGAGGTGTACCTCTCTCTTTGTCTATCTATCTATCACAGAGACCCCAAAAGCGACCACAAGCACAAGCACCAATTGAAGCAAACATAATTCTCAGCGAGAGAGCACCTCTCGCTCTCACTCACTGGGGTTGATGCGTACTTGATTTGATTCCGTGTGGTCCATCCAGCCATCCATCTATCCATGCTCCATCCGTCCAAGTTCCAAAGTCTTAGTCGGATCCATTGGTTAAAGTTGCATCACGTACTTAGCTCGTAATCCAGTCGGCGGCATTGTCTCCCTTTTGCTTTGGTGTGCTTTTTCTTAAGTCGCCTGCCAAGCATGCAATCAAGGAATGCAAAGCGAAGGCGTTCTCACTATAATTGAGGTCACTTTCTGTAAATCAGCTGGACGCCCGTGCGAAGCATCGCTTCCTACATAAAAAACTATCCCGTTCTTTCCAACAGCATGACACTAAGAGGGCATATATATATATGTGGAGACCAAGTGAAAGTCGGATGGATGGATATAAAAAAATCTTTTTCTGCTGTTGCTGCTCGCTTCACTCACTACCGGAGCTCGAGGATGTGGAATTGGAGGCCTTTCCCTGCTTGGGTGCGCACCATTTCGCATTCAAGTTGGACGTGGACATTTCCTGATGTTGATGTGCGAGCAGCAGGGACTTCTACGCTGGTCACGACAAGGAGTTCGATTCCACCTCCCACCACTCCATACCTATACATCATACACGGACAGGCGATCCCCGATGTAACTTCTGCATATCGGGCAGTGTTTACATCTCTCGGAGCACACGCTGCCAACAAAGCCAGTCAGTAGGACGCCACCACAACGGACTTCAAACATCAACCTGCAAAGGACTCGATGTTTACACAGAGTAACACCACGGCTATGTCACGCTCAAAGCACACCCGGCAAAGCACTTTCTCCTGCAGGGCCATCTTAGAGCAATAAGCCAGTCACGCTACACATAAATCACATATAATGCAGTGAAAAGGAGAAGCCCATACGCTCTGCAGGCGGTCAAACTCGTGCTGTCGATGCTTGGCTATTCATGTTTGCTCCGCTTGAAGCCTCCATATCTGTGTACAAGCCAGAGTGAGTCAGGCATTGGAGAAACAAGCGTAAAGTACCTCTGCAAGGTCTTTCCGGGCCATTTTCTTGACCGGAAGGCCAGTAAATGTGTAGTACCTGGAAGTACAAATCTCGCATAAATGCAAGCCAAAAAACCAGAGCCAAAGACAGTTGATTTTCTTGTTTTACCCCGAAAGAGCCGGTCTTGTTCTTCTTTGCTCTTCTCATCCATGGACTACCACCCAAGAAGCCTAAGTTGATGAATTGTCAAGGAACAGGGAACTCTATATAGATGACTAACCTTGAGCCATGGCGAACAAAACCATAGAATTCCGGGAGACGAGCTCTATGATACGTCACCTACATGCATTAGCCTTTCCACGACACGCAAAACTGTAAGAAGAATACCCAAGTCAGAATGGAATGTTTATTGCTCCTGCTAAAGAAAAGAAACATAGTAGTTTTGCTTGCTGCCTTTCTTGATGGATAAGTTAAGAAAGTCTTACCTCAAGCTTTATACACAATAAGATCTGCGATATCAATACTGGCTTCGATGCCTTCGTCCTCAAAGTATGATTGATGTGGAAGATGCACTGCAAAGATATCGTCTCTTTCCAGTGTTTCACAAGACGATGAAAGAGATCCTCGAATCCAAGGGTTGGTCCATTTGGTGCAGACCAGAATGGTGAAATACTCAGCAATACTGAGCAGCAAAAGCATTAACAACGATGCAAATACAAAACTTACCTTACTTTATAAACAAGTTCCGCGATTCAAAATCCCCCACGCGAAAAAGGAGTGAAAATTCTAACTAGTAATACAAACTATTCTTACCAGTTAATTTAACAACCGGATGCAAAAGCCCCTGAAGCATAACAGTCCGAGAAACTAAGTTCCAAAGGGGCATAGTACCAAGAGATGGTGCTTCGTTCTGGCATATCGTCAAACAAAGCCTTAGTTACGATGCCCATTCTGGGTATGGATTGGTATTACAACATTCCAAGACACAACGTCCCACACGGGCATTGCATCGAGCACCTTTATTTGGCTTTGAAACGGCCGCCAGAGAGCACGCAGACATTAGTCCCGTCCACAAGAATAAATAGCTTGTCATCGTCTCAAACAAGCGCTGGGCATAGGCAACCAGTACTTGTGAGGCCAGGAAAGAGAGGAGGGCATGCGCACAGACTGTTAGCCTCGTCGAGGAGTTCGTGCCTGTGCAGGAGGAGGAAATGAAAAAGGAGGATGATATATCAGAATATAACTCTAACAAGCGGTAGAACTAGGGTTTGGGATGACTCGGATATAATCGCTTACCCAAACATAGGTGTTGCGTGACTGCCGTCGCCATACTCCTCGCTGAGCTCTTCAGACAGTGTTGGGGTATCGGCGTGCCTCTGTCAACTTCCTGCAAGCCAGAGAATGTTAATAAGCTTTATGGTGGGATTAGGCAATTGCATTTACTGACTTTAAATATATTATCAGCCATCTTTCATATATAGTTTTAGTTACATTAATAAATAAGCAGACTATGAAGCAATTCACTTACATAAATGATGTTACACTTGAATTATCCATGGCAGGGAGCTGACGAAGAAGATACTCGGTCTGATCCACAATTCATCCAACATTCAAGCTGCAAGCATGAATTTTACAGTGAAGCACTGTGCTCTTTAGGCGCTCTCAAAACCCCCAGATTCAGATGAGGCAGGTGTCTTTCGGAAGGGAGGTTTGGTTTTGAGAAGGAGCATTGTATTCCTCAAGTTGGAGCTTGGCCTGGAGAAACTCAGCTACGTCCTCCAGCTCCTCCGGCTCCTTGATCCAGTGCCCGTCCAGCTTGGCGCCCACATACTGCCTCCACGTCACGTCCACGTTCATGTTGGTGCTGAGTACGTGACGAGCCCTCAACGCGAGCTCGAGAGGCACCTTGCGATCGTGAGTGCCGTGGCCCAAAAAGACGGGAGTAGCCTCAGCCCCCTGTAAATCTCCCTCTTTCAACGTCCCCTGATCGAGCTTGTGAGCGAGGGGTAACCATCCGCTCATGCCCACATAGGCTCCCAGCCTGTGCTCGCAGCGCAGCAAGGCGTACAGGGACGTTGCCTGTCCCTGGCTGAGGCCGCCAAGCACAAGCTTGTCTGCCCTGCCACCCAGCCGCTGCACCTCCTCCTCAATGAGCCGCAGAACGTACTCAACGGAGCTGCTTAGTCCTGGGATCTCCTGCGCCGACTCGCTGCTGTCCCGCGGCGAGGCGTCCAGCCACTGCTTGCGCTCCATCTCCATGGAACTCGACCACAGCAGCCCTGAGCTGGGGAAGACCCAGCGGAAGCTCGGGAACTTGGCAAAGAGAGAGGGGCGCCTCCGACGGATCGCCCTCCAAAACTGTGGCCCGTCGCTGCCGCCGCCATGGAGGAAGATGACGGTATGGGTGTGCTCCGCAGCTGGCTCCTGGATTTGTGGCACCGGCCGCCCGCTCATGGTGGAAATCATTAGGGCTCTGCCCATTTTAGTTTAAGTAGTTTTAGGGTAAATAACAAGTTTTGAAAGTGTTTTAAAATTTCTAAATAAAGTGGCGCTCGGGTCCCATTAGAATAATTATTTGGCAAAAAAACACACATATATAACATAGAATGTTACATGGTTTTCTAAGTTGTAGAGCATTCATGATATTGGATTCATGATCATGATAGAGCTATAAAATTTTAAAGTTTGATAGAATATACATTTTTGGGTATGAGGGATAGATCCACTAACTACCATGTGGAGTAGGAGCAGAGTAGACAAGTAAGACATTGCAAACTGATCGAATTCTGCAAGATCACCGACATGAAAATCTTAAATGGGACATCACACTTGAGATACACATATCATTCCCACACCTGGGCAAGTCGGTCTCCTATCCTTCCTGGAATTCGTCGATCACAGACCAATCGCAATCACACTCTGGCTTTGTGCCCCACATGAAAACTAAAACAACATAGCAACAGACTTGCCCCTTGATCGACCAACTCCATGAAGTAGATCACCTACAGCAGCGAGTTGAGGAACTTTGGAACACACACACACACACACACACAAGAAATCCTTGATTTTATTCATTGTGAAATATCAATTAAAGAGTGTATATGTGGCAAGTGATGTGGCACATCAATCACTTGCCACATAAGCCAAGATTGCCACGTCACTTGCCCCATATGTGGGAGGTTGGCCCCGTCGCGACGGAGCTCTTCAAGACGCTGAGGTATCTTGCGCTCCAAGCGAGTCACTGATCACGTCAAGACCCGGGATCTCAAGAAGCTCTTCACGCTACTGATATTTCGGCTCAAAGATTCCAGCGAGAGATCACACTTGTGCTCACGGAGCTAGAATCGTCAGAACTGGTAAGCTTTTCTTCTTTTTTTGAGAAGATTATACGAAAGAGAGAACGAACTCACTTTTCTTCACACGAATTGATTGGAGCCTTTGAAGATGTAGTCTTTAGCCGCGAAATGGTGATGCGCCAAGATTCTGGTGCCATACATGCTCCTGTTTCCAAAGTTCTTCGGTGTTTCAACATGTTTTGCTTTTTCTTAATGTTCCCTCTTGGCTTTTCCCTAATGGCTTTTTTTTTCCATTCTACCAGAGTGATTGATAGTGAGGATGAAAGAGACATTCATCCCAAAGCTGCTATAGATTGTTTGGCTGGTGGGGCTTAATCGTTTCTTACTCAAGGTTTTGAAGCACCTCACCTTGAAGAGATCCATTGATGCGAGTCGAATGGAGTTCTTCTCCTACGCTGAAGCATTTCCTTCTATAGTTCAAATGGAGTTTGTTGTTGGTACTTCTGACCAAGTATCTGCATGTAGCTAACTCTTTATTCTTTCTCGGTTTCCAGGAGCTGTTCAGTCCATCGTTCAACTTCTTCGCAAGCAAGAGACCCGATGTGCAGCAGTAACAATGTTGGGGAAGACTATGGAGCTTTGCCTACAACAGGTAGAATTAACATATGATAAATCCAGGTTCTTACATTTCTTTCCTTTCATTCTAGCTGAATGAGAAGTGTGATCTTACACAAATCTTATTAAAGGAGAGCTCTCAAAGCAATTACCAACCAGGTTTTGGTTGTTTTCTCTTCTTCTTTCTTGTTCATTTTGTATTTTTAAACAGGTGACTCCTGTAGCAAGAGGAGATGAGAACTCTCCTCATGGGAATTCAGCATGTCAAGAAGCTCCAGAAAGCCAGGTAAAAACTTGAGTGTCTCAATGTTAAACGTTTGCATTTTTTTAGAATCTGGCAAGACATCCATGGCATTTCTTCCAGGAGGTAAGTTCGATCCTTTTTTTATGTTATAATCTTTCTTTTACAGAGCCAGCAAGCCAACTAGAGCAAGTGCCAGTGAGCCAGCAGCAGCAAGCAGCAACAAGTAACAGTGAGCAGCAGCCAGGAACTTGGTGAGCTACAGCAGGCTGGGCAAAGGAGAAGCTGGAGAAGATTAGTGCACTCTAGATGGTGCCAGCCAGGTAAAAGACGATGATGGGGTGGTGGTGGCGGAGGAGGAGCCTGCTTTGGCTCGGCAGCTAGTAGCAGCAAGTCAGCCAGCAGCAGTGAGCAGCAAGAGCAGCAACAGCAGCAGAAGCAAGCAGCACAAGCAGCAGTGCAAGCAGCAAGTAACAAGCAAAGTTTTAGATATCAATTCAATTAACAATCCAGATTTGTGGCATTTAATGTTCAAATAGATAGTGCTGTGTAAAGCTTATGTGGCATCCAATGTAGCAATCCATGGAAATCAAACATGACAACATCAATGAAAAACTTGTGAATTGGTTATTAAATCAATTTGAAAATTCATACATTGTGAAACGATTGTAATCTCACATTCATGATTCACATGGTTATACATCTAAAATTCATTATAAATGAATCTGTTGTGAATTTTAAAAATTCAGAAATGTTTAATTTGAAATTCTTTAATCATGATTTTTTGTTTTTTTTTTGTAGTGACAGCCATGACATCCTGGAAGAGAATCACACAACTTACAGGTGGAAATACTCAAACACATGACACGACCAATAAGACAAAAGATAAAGCTGCCAATCAAAGGACCAAGTGTTATGGGCTCCATAAAGCATACAGAAGCATGA